ACCCGGCTAAGTCCGACCGGAAAAGGCGTCCGCGGAACTATCCGCCCCCAGCTGAGCGTTTCAACCTTAATTCAATGCCGAATAGGTGGTTTGCCGGCCCGTTTTCCCGCACGGGTACGGTAACTATAGGGTCTCCTGGGGACTCAGTCTTAGCCTCGTGATCACGCCTTTAACGTCAGTGTTCCCAACAGCAAATATTCTAGTATCGCTCGTCTAAACCATTGCAAGGCATAAGATATTCGTCTGAATATAGGGTGGAATAATGAGCTCATAGGGACCCCGTTGAGCAAGCTCGGAGGCTGTCCCTCCAATTCTCGTACGAGGGCATTATACGCTCGCCGACCCGAAAATTAAGAAATAGCATCTGAAGAGGAACAGGCAGCATTGCGTGGATGTATAAAGCCAGCCATTTACCCTTTCATGTTCCAAGATAATCTCATAGCATCAATCACCTTGGTGGCCAGCTAGCCTCTTTTTCTTACTACAACACTTACACTGCAACTACGACCTGTCCACTTCTTTGCAAAAATGAAGATATCTGCATCTTTTGCCATTTTCGCTGCGGCGGCAACCGCTCTCCCTACCGAAGAACATCCCGTGGAAGCCGCCTCGGAATCCGACGCCGCAGTCTATGCTCGGGACGTGCTTACCAAGCTCGAAACGCTCAGCTGGGATAAATCGCAGCCACCCTCGTATGAAGTCGGCAAGGAGTGGCAGTATACTTGCGCTGCGAACATTCTGTACTCGGAGCAGGTTCAATTCTGGGAAAAGATGTGGATTCTTGATGGCTACCCCGAGTACCCCATCACCAAGGAAGCCTTTTACATCCCCAATGTGGAAGCTGCGGCTATCAATACGGGACGCAACAAGGATATGGCCCTGGAGAGCGCCACGTCCACGACTTCTACCAAGACGGAAACCAAGGGTTGGACTATTGGCGCAAAGGCTGCTGGTAACTTTGGCAAGAAAGACGTGGCTGCTGGTACCGTCGAGCTCTCGGCTTCGTATTCGGACACGAAGACGACGACCAATACAGAGACAAAGACAGTCACGTACAAGGGAGTCTGTGAGCCAGGCTATGAGTGCCGAATCGAAACTTGGTCGTTCCATCTCAAGCTCGACGCAACAGTCGTCCGAGCGATGTATTACCAACTTTGGAGCTTGGGACTCGGGCTGGGCGACGAAAAGTATCTGTGTCTTATGGATCCAGTGCTCAGGACATGCGATCAGTTCACATCTAGATTTGACCCGAACTGTCCCCAGAGCGGAGCTAGTATCACCATGTTCAACAGGTTCAAGGAGGTCCAGCTTACGGTCCCGATCAAGGAAGGCAACGGCCTGCAGCTGATGAGTCGTGTCGTCTTGGTCTCGGAGCGGCTCTCCGCGAAGAAGGCCAGAGAGGAGTCGGAGCAGTCCAGCATCGGAACAAAGGAGACTATTGAGAAGGCCATCCAGCAGGGAACCAAGTTCCAGTTTCTTGATGGACCGAAGGAGTAAGGAGTTGTCTCTTGAAACCTGGAGCGTTGAGCTCGGTCAACTATTAGGGTAGCATTTCCACTCTTTTGACAGCAGGCTTACAATCAACTTGTCGCCGTAGATAGTACAGATCAATTCATCTTGTCTTGTAATGACCAGCGTCTGTTGTGTGATTTTTTTTTCGATCCGGGAAAAGGGTTGTAGTTGGAGATGCAGGATCGCCAAGGACGCCACCAAGGCTACAGCCCACCCAGAGCTAACTAACTAGGCGCTCAGCACAGACCGACCTGGGAGAGCGCGCTAACCAAGAGGGGTATCGCCTGTCACTGCCGGCTTGAGGCTTGGCAAGCTGAGCCTGAAGGCGTTCTATAACTATAGTGCGCGGCTTAACCCTCTAAAGGGCACCTATGTACATATATACATACATACATACATACATACATACATACATACATACATACATACAACCCTTCTAGGAGCACTTCTTCCACTAGGGCGCGAGCTAGCGAGGGCAGTCGCCTAAGCCTTGTGCATTCATACAGTGGTGTACGTACAGTGGGTAGCAACATGTATTCGACCCCTTCGTGGTAGCTTTTTCCAAAACCTACTGACCTAAATAGGGCAATTACATGCCGCTTTTTATTTATTAGGGGTAGGGCTACATAGGATCATCCCCTGTAAGTCCACTGTAACTGCATTATGGTTGGGGTTAGTGCTTGCCTGATTAAAGCAGCAGCATCTTATCCGTCTTCTTTAGGCTATGTAGGTACCATGAAGGGGTCAAATCCATGATGCCACCCACTGTAGTCGGCCATCTTGGCAGCGAAGCCCCTGGGAGGTCCCATCATCGCCTAGGCGCGCATGACTAGAACTCTCACTTCTTCTCCCTTTGATCCTGACCTTAGGCTAATTGAAGGGCTGGCTGTAATAATGCGGATGCGTAGCGCTTGGCTGGACGAGGTGGTTGCTGTGAATTCGCGAGAGCAGGCCTAGCAAGAAAACTGATTAACGACGGCGTAGTAGAGTTCATTTTTGAGGGTTTTACTAAGTCTAACCTAGGTATTGAAAAGAGCAGAAAAATCTCTATAAACAATAATTCTACAACATCATACTAGAAGGATAAAATAACATGTCCTATCTTGATGAAATAATAGCGTTTAGTCACCTAGCGTCAATATTATAGCGTAGAATACTTCTCAACCTCGTCCGAAATATCCTGCAACGGACTGTCTGTCCTGTTTCCCGCGTTGCTGCCCTGAACCTTGGCATCGCTCGAGAACAAGTTGACCGAGTACAGCCTGGCCCCCATCTCAACCGTAGCCACCGAGAGCGCACCCTGTTCGCGATAGGGGTTCGGAATAGTCCCCAGCTTCTCGGCAACTCTCCAGCTCGCGTCCCGCGAACGGAGAACGACGGTGCCTAGATTGTACCGGGAGACGAGAAGGATCCTGCCGTCGTATCGCGGCGGCATGTAGACGGCGTCGAGGTCCTGGCCGATGGTCTCGTTGCCGGAGCCGAGGGGAATCCGCACAGGGACGCCCTCTTCGCGTCGGGTGTCGAAGCGGTACAGCTGTCCATCAGCCTGGTTTGCGACAATGAGGTTGTGGCCTCGCAGCGCGAGACCAGAGAAACCGTCGCTGGAACCGAGGGGCGGTCCTACAAACCACGGGATGACCTTGGAGCCATCGGCGCTCACTCGAAGGATGCTACTTCTTCCATAGGTCCCCAGCACAAAAGAGTCACCTTTTTTGGTGTGCTGGACGTCTTGGAACCCCCCGTACGCACCATTGGAGACGGCCGTCAAGTTGGCTGTGAAGATTGTCTGGTTCGTCTTCAAATCGTACTTGACAAGAAAGTTATTGCCCGACAAGTCTTTCCCAAGCGTGTCGAATGCGGCACCCGCGTTGATCACAACAAACAGGTGACCAAGCGGATCGACTCGTACTCCTGTAGAATGCAAAGTAGGATCGCCGCTGAGTCCCGGGAAAGATATAGTATTCGTCACCTCATTTTTCGCGGCATCGTAGACGGCAACGGAGGCGTTAAACAAGACACTGCTCATGTTAGCAAGTATTCTGTTATATGGACAGTTGCCTAGCCCGCACCTGAAGTACGCGACACATCGTTCTGTGTCAAAGCATGCATTTTCTGGATATAATTGATATGCCGAGATGTCCAAGTCTCCAGGCGGAGGGGATGGGCACCCAATCCACGCGGGACAGGCTCGAGAAACCGAAAGGCCGAAAAGTGCCGTCAAGACAAAGAAGCGCATGCTTGAATTTGGACTATTGCAGCAAAATCGTCTGAAGATTCCGACAGGTATGAGAAACTGGTCTCTGCAAGGTAAGTTATCGTCCTTGGGAATAAGAAACTGGTCCACGTAGGGTAGGATATCGTCCTTATATACTCTGCTCAAGGCCGTTGTGCCCCCCACGGCCTGTAGCGCTGATTGATCATCTCTTCCGCTGCACTGTCGATGATGGTCGATGATGGCCACATTAAAATGTGGTAGACCATAAGCAGCCTTGAGTAGGGTTCTACTCTGTCCGTGGGGAGTATTCGGCATGACGGAGACCACAGATCGCCGAGGCCGAGACATTGCACCATGTCTCGGGCCGGCCGAGCCGCCCAGCGAACCGTCCAGTTTTCTTATTGCAGCATCGGAATTGTCTTATCTAATTGGATAGAGTCGAGTATCGCACATCAGAAGAAAGGAGCCAACATGTACCAGTATGTGGGCAGGCTGCGATCCGGCCGGCCCCACTTGCCCGACCGTTGGTGCCGGACTCGGCGGTGGAAGGTGTGCCGACGCCGAGGAAATTCAAAAAAAAGAGTCCATCATTTGGTGTTATCTGGCTGCATCCCGAAGTCCGCCTAGGACAGGGGGCGGGATCAATTCTTAGTACTCTATCGGAATTGAGCACTCGTATAAGAAGCACACATTTTCCTTGTGCTCTGTCTGACCTGAGTAACTCTGGTAGATTCGGAGCCTGAACTAAACCGGTAAGTTCCTAGTTGCTACATGGGCTGGGATTGCCACACAATAACCATTTGAACAAAACTGGCTGACAGACACCCAGAAGCGCAAAATGATTTCCGTGACAACAGTTACCAAAGATATTGACGCCCCAATTGGGGAAGTTTGGGCCATCGTTTCCGCGTGGGGCTCAGAGAAGCTCTGGTTTCCAAACATGATGAGATCAAGCCTGGAGGGCTTTGGAGTTGGATCTGTACGGACATTAACTTTTAAACCTGGAGACTTTACCGTCTCCGAGAGGCTAGAAGCAGCCGACCCCTTGGCACATACTCTTTCCTATGCCTTGATCCGGAACCCTGATCATCATAGGGCCAAGTATCCTCGTGGGAGCATCGTGTTGGATGACCTTGACGGAGCCAAGACAAGATTTACGTGGTCCTGCAAGGCGAGTTGGGTGGATGAGGACTTCCGAGCCGAGTTCGTCAACATGATCAACGGCATGTATAACGAGGCGATTGATTGTCTTGGCCAACTGCTAGCTGCTTCGGAAGACCGCTAGATCGAGTACAGCCGAAGCAATTCGATGCGTGTATCTTTGGACTTGTTCTCCATTCGTCGGTAGCTTTGATAGGTGGCTGACGGCATCAGTCTGTTGGACAAGACTCGCGCTTTTAGTAGTTGGAGATGTCTAACAGGGAGTTGTGGTCTAGTCTCAATCACATACACGCTTTAACAATAAAGCAATCAGAAAACCTAATCTACATTGTCTTCCTTTATATTTTTCTTTCAAACAACAACTGATGGACTCTTCATGTCATGATGAGTCTAGGGCACGGTGCAGAGACGCCACAGGGTCCCGGCCTCAGAGCTGCCAAACTTAACTTACCTAGCGCGCGCCCTTGGCCAGTGACATCTACACCTTTGTACGGATACCCCTGTGCCATTGGTATCCGAGCCAAAGTTTACGGACATGGGCGTTGGACGCCAACACACGGCAGTCTCACTTTGCCATTGAGATATGATAAACCACTCGGGCCGAGTTGGGGGGGAGGGGGGTCAGTCACCACACATGCCGCCCTCGCTATCCCGCACGACTTAAACATATGTATATATATACATGTGGTATTTGTCAGCAAAACGGTCACCCCACAGCACCAAGGTGAACTTATACCTGCTTAAGTGTGTCCAGGCCCCCAATTTCTTCGGGCGGCCAAGATGCGGAGCCTATTCATCGCCGAGGCCGATCGCTGTTCACTATTCACAAGACCAAGATTCTGATCCGTCTCACACGCCGATTGTAGCCGGCTTGATTTGGCTGAATTCATAGCCAAAGTCTTCGGCATGGTTTCGCCTCCCAACCGATTGAAGCGTCGGACCGCCGAGTCACGACCTTCACCCCCAGCGCCAGCATCGCTCCCTTCGTCCCGGCGATACGATCGGTCCTGCATCGTGTGCCACAGGAGAAAGGTACGATGTGACCGACAGTCGCCCTGCTCCACCTGTACGCGAAACGGCTCCTTGTGCACATACCCGCCCTCCAATCTGGCAGTGAGCCGCGTTCGCAAGACGACAATGTCGGATGTCGCGTCTCGCCTCTCTAGCTTGGAGAAATCCATCACGGCTGCAACCACCGGCGCCGTCCAGGCTGACAAGACGCCGTCTCCGGGCCTTGTAGGTTCCTCGCCACAGGCCAAGGGTCGACTCTCGCCGACAATTCTGCTCCACTGCCGGAACTCGAGCCAGTACTTTGATGAATTACTGACGACTCGTGTCATCGAGGAGGTAAATGAGAGCCAGAGAGTCGTGCATCTTGATATATAGCTAACCATTCGGAAGGATTGTGATAAGCCTTCACTCTTGCTGAGAAGTGCAGACGAAAAGCGAGTGGAAGCGAGGGATACGCTCTCTAGCCTGATGAGCACCTCGTTCAGGACCATCGCAGCAGATGACACGGATAAAGGTTGGCAGCCGCTGACTCGAGGCGCTCTGGAGCTTTGGCGAATCTTCACACAAAACGTAGACCCCTCTATAAAGATATTGCATATCCCAACAGCTGAAGTTTTGTTTTTTGAAGCCATCAGAGAACCTGATACTGTCTCCAAAGACGCGTCAGTGACTCTACTCGCGGTGTATTTTGCTGCTGTTGCGACAATGGAGGATCATGACACCCGGCATGTTCTCGGCCTGGATCGGTTCGAGGCTTTGAGTCTCTTTGAAAGTCAGTTTCAGCAGAGCTTACATGCGGCTGACATTTTGGAGCACCCCACGTTCCTTCTTTTGCAGGGACTGGCAATATATCTGGTGTGTATTCTTGTATCACTCAGTAACAAGGGCGTTACGAGACTGACTGGTTACTCCGCAGACAGCATGCAGAACACATAACCACGGCAGAGGCTCATGGATCTTGAACGGCCTTGCACTCAGAGTTGCCCAATCGATAGGCTTGCACAGAGACGGATCCAGTCTGGGATTGACCCCGTTCGAGGCAGAAGTCCGGCGGCGCCTTTGGTGGCATATGCTTGCCCGAGACAATCGTGCTGCGGAGGATCACGGACTTGGCTCGTCATCCGTACTGCCATCCTCTGACACAAAGTTGCCTCTGAATATCCACGATGAAGACTTATATCCTGGCATGGAAGAGCTTCCACCGCCATCCTCAGGGTGGACAAAGATGAGCCTACACATCATTAATATGAAAATAACACAAACATTGCAGCGAGTGGCTGGGTTGTCAACATCAGCAACTGATTCGCACAGCAAGGAACCGGTTAGACAAGAAATGATGGGCCGTCTCAGAGATCAGGTCAATACCTATGCGAGTGCTTCCTCTCCGTCGATTCCTTTGCACGATCTGACCATGCAGCTGGCGCTTCTAATGGTTCACAAAGCAGATTTCATAACGCGTCAGCAGCTGATCAACATGGAGCATCCCCGCCAAGGAGACATGATGACGACGGAAGAAAACATCGTTACAGCATGCCAGTGTCTGGAGATATATTCCCAGCTTTGGGAGGATACGCTTCTCTGCCAATACAGATGGTGGCTTCGCAGCTATCCCCAATACCATATGCTTCTATACGTCCTATGGCACCTCTATGTCAAGCCGGAGGGGCCAAGCACTGACAGAGCTTGGGAATGCGTCCACAAACAATTCAAAATCATTCTAGAGGAGGATTTAGGTCAAAACACAAAACTGGTCGTGCTGCAACGTCTCAAATGGAGGGCTGAAGGAAAGCGCAATTCTAGCTTGAACAGCTACAGCATACCGACCGGTCAATGTGCGTGGACGGAAAGCGATCGCAGTGGAACCGTTACTGATACAGGCAAACTAGGGGATCAGGCCGGGATGCAAAGTGTGTACCAGGATGGTCTCTTCCTACCTATGTCTACTTGGACTAGTTTTCTGGAAGATACAAACATTCATGTGCCCGATTTCCTGGGGACTCTATAAGTTGGCGCTCGTTCAATAAGAGCCGGGCATTGCAGACACTAGCTAGATGGAAATGTAGCAAGATGAAAAGAAAAGAGTCACACGCGTATGCATTCTTAGAGTGGTGGTAGGTAAAAAAGAATAACAAAAATAGGCAACTGTTTATTCGATGGGCCGGCGGATACTTGGCAGATGATATGGTCATACTCAAGTTTATCATATTAGAACTGTGGTAGCGTAATAATTGGTCGAGCCCGCCTTCGTAAATGAGAGATGGCCCCTTTTTCAATCTAGGAAATGTCGCTCATCTCGACTGCGCGTCTCATTCGCCAGCCTTGCTTTTTTGAACCACAAGGACGGACCAACCACTGCCGCCTCAAGGCTTGGCAAGCTGAGGCTGAAGGGGCAACGTCAACGTATGCCCTCTAACTAGTCGACTCAGTCTAGTTAGTGCAACCAGACATTACAGGGGCGGTGAAGTGCCATGTCATGGTGTTGAACGGATTGCTGTTCCGGAAACCTGTGCGTTGTTAGTGTAACGGGCAAGAGGGATTGGCGTGTGTCTGGTGGCTGCGTGAATCAGCGATGCACATGATGTCGGACAGCGCATACTGAGCGCTTTGGGCGGTGCAAAGTAAGTTGAGGAGTATATTTTTCCCAAAAAAAAAAAAAAAGCGAGAAAAAAAAAGGGAGGGAAATTGCATTCGGGAGGGATGCTCATCTACATAACTATAGGTCTTGTCTACGCTGCTGAGAGAATTCCGGCGGGATTCAGAGTCTTGGAGACGAGAGCGGGAAAGGCATTCGGCCGCCTACACGGGATTGGAGAGTCGCGGCTCGCGGCCGCCATCCCGGGGCGTAAAGTCAGGTTGCGATAACAACCTTGTACGAAATGTTAGCATGAATCCCTCTTGTCGCCTCTACAGATCATTTCCCTTTCCGCCCAAGCCCGGCGAGATTCCCGAATCCAGGGTCTCAACATCCAGCATCCCAGGTGCCCCCCCTCCCACACCGAGATGCGAAATGCATGTTTGTCGCGCCGCCGTCAGCAGTTGACCAAAACGTTTGATCAATCACGGTGCAACTCGTCGAACACACTGTCACGATTACACCTATTTTCCTATTCCGGAAACCACTGCGACTCCTCCTCCTCCTCCTCCCATGCCAAGCAGACTCAGTGATTCACACACCCCAAGAAGCCAAGCTTTTCGACCCGCCCTCCGCGTCCTCGGGATCCGGCCGGCCTCGCTGGCTGACGGCGGCAGTCAGTGTTCCCTCGGGATCCGGTTAGGCTGCTTCCCACGGGGCCGGGATACAGGCACGTTTTTTTTTGCCAAGAAGGAATGGGTCAACGCTACCTTGCGCAACGGCGAACAGGAACAGACAGCCCTAGCTGGACAGGATGGCAAGGCAAGGGCTGTGGTTGTGGTTGAGGTTGAGCGCGAGCGATCCCTGAGCGGAGTCTGTGGACTAAATCATGACTGCGCCCGGTGATGTCGTGGTTCCTTACGACGTCTAATATAAAACGGTGAGGGCCTTGTCAACAACGATACAAGTGTAACACTGCGCCGTCACACAGTTTGAAGCATCTGAGCTTGCTTATACAGACAGAGTCGTCTTCCCTCTAAATCGGCCAACCTCTCCTTTACCAATTCACCTTGTTTTTTTTTTTTTTTTTTTTTTTACCGAAATCGTCGACATAGCCCTGAGCAGCCATGGAGGCTCCAGGTAAACCCGAGGCCATCGCCACCAAGCTCGACGAAAAGGCCCGGCCATCACAAGACAGCGAGTCTCAACCCGAGCCATCCTCTGGCAACGCATACTTTGTAAGATGCTCCAGCTTTGCTTTGCTTCCTTCACCTCTGCCAGCAGGCCGGCCAGCTAACCAAGGGCGGCCATCCACAGCGCATCTTTACACATGCCACCTCGTTCGAGTACACCCTCCAGGGCATCGCCATCTTCGCCGCCATCTGCTCCGGCGCCGGCATCGCCCTGCAGAACCTCATCTTTGGCAACTTTGTCACGACCATGACCAGCTTCGCCAACGGAAAGGCGACGCCGGGCGATTTCCAAAGCGAAGCCAGCAAGCTAGCGTGCGTGCGTCCCGTTTCACAGACATGGCGAACTTGGCCACGATCACTAACACACTCTGCAATAAAGCCTCTACTTTGTCTACCTCGGCATCGCCCGCTTCGTCCTCTCCTACATCTACAACTCCCTCCTCACCTACACCTCCTACCGCGTCGTCCGCAACCTGCGCTCCGCCTACCTCGGCGCCGCCCTCCGTCAAGAAGTCGCCTTCTTCGACCTCGGCGCCGGCTCCGCCTCCATCGCCGCCGCCGCCACCACTAACGGCCGGCTCGTCCAGGGCGGCATCTCCGAGAAGCTCGGCCTCACCTTCCAGGGCCTCTCGGCTTTCGTCACCGCCTTCGTCATCGCCTTCGCCACGCACTGGAAGCTGACCCTGATCACGCTGTGCGTCGCGCCGGCCATCCTGGTCGTCATGGGCGTCGTCTCGGCGCTCGAGGCGGCGATCGAGACGAGGATCCTAGACATTCACGCGCAGGCCAACGCGTTCGCGGAGGGCGTGCTGGCGAGCGCGCGCACGGTGCACGCGTTTGAGATGCGGGAGAGGTTGGTGGGCAAGTTTGACGGGTTGCTCAAGGAGGCGCATGGGTTGGGGGACAAGAACTCGGTGCTGTTTGGGGCGCTCTTCTCGACGGAGTACACCATCGTCTACCTGGGCTTCGGGCTCGCGTTTTGGCAGGGCGTCAACATGCTGGCCAGGGGCGAGATTCAGAACCCGGGTCAGATCTTCACGTCGGTCCTCCCCCTTTCCTCGCTTTGCACTTGCACGAACCCCCCGGTTGTGCTGATTGATCATGTGTTGTAGTGTCCTGCTCTCCGTCGTCATCGCCGCCATCAGCCTGACCAACCTGGCGCCCTACCTGATCGAGTTTACTCGCGCCGCCACGGGCGCATCGCAGATGTTTGCCCTCATCGACAGAAAGTCCAGCATCGATTCCTTTTCGGAAGCGGGCGAGAAGCCGACCGAGACACAGGGCGATATCCAGATTGACAACGTTACGTTCGCCTACCCAACCCGACCAGACACTGTCGTGCTCAACGACTTTTCCCTCCACATCCCTGCCGGCAAGGTCACCGCACTTGTGGTAAGTTGCATCCATCAAGCGAGACTGACGTTACCTGGCTGCGCTCACACATGTGGTAGGGTCAAAGCGGCTCGGGAAAGAGCACCATTGTTGGTCTGATTGAGAGATGGTACGATCCCCTCTCCGGTTCCATCAAGCTCGACGGGCGGCCCATTACAGACCTCAACCTGAACTGGCTTCGCAAGAATGTCCGACTTGTCCAGCAGGTAAGCAAGCATCATGCCCTCTCCCCTCGGCCGCACAATCCTCGGCCGCGCAATCGCACTAACTGACACCCCCCCCCTCAGGAACCCATCCTATTCCAGGGCTCCGTGTACGACAACATCGCCAACGGCCTCGTCGGCACCCCCTGGGAGCACGCCCCGCGCGCCGAGAAGCTCGCCCTCGTCCAAGAAGCTGCCACCACCGCCTTCGCGCACGACTTCATCCTCGCGCTCCCCTCCGGCTACGACACGGACATTGGCCAGCGCGGCGGCCTGCTCTCCGGCGGCCAGCGGCAGCGCGTCGCCATCGCGCGCAGCGTCGTCTCGCGGCCGGCCGTGCTGCTCCTCGACGAGGCCACCAGCGCGCTCGACCCGCACGCCGAGGGCGTCGTCCAGCAGGCGCTGGACCGCGCCTCCAAGGGCCGCACCACCATTACCATCGCGCACAAGCTGGCGACGATCCGCAGGGCGGACAACATCGTGGTCATGGCCGGGGGGAGGATCGTGGAGCAGGGGACGCACGAGGCGCTGCTGGCGAGGGAGGGGGGTGCATACGCGAACTTGGTGTCGATTCAGGACTTGGCGGTGACGGCGGCGGCGGAGGAGGGCTCGGATGGCGAGGAGTCGGACAGGACGGCAAATGGTGAGGAGGGGGGGAGGGGAGGGGGGTCGGACCCGGCCGATGCGGAACTGCAGCGGACGCTGACGCGCCAGGCGACGGAGGTGCAGCAGCGGATGGAGACGCAAAAGGATCGTGACAGCTATGACAAGCACAAGCCGCTCGGCATGGTCGCGGCCATCATCCGGCTGGTCAGGGAGAGCCCGGACCTGACCTGGGCGTACCTCCTCACCGTCGTCGGCTGCATGGGCGCCAGCGCCGGCTTCCCCGGCCAGGCCATCCTCGTCGCCAACACGGTCCAGGTCTTCACCCTGACCGGGCAGGCCATGGTCGACCGCGGCAACTTTTTCGCCTCCATGTTCGTTGTGCTGGCCGCCGGTTGTCTGGTCTTTTACTTCATCCTCGGCTGGACGACCAACACCATTGCCCAGGTACGTTCAGTTTCTCCCAGCATCCCATCCCATCCCCCGTGCTGACAGCCCGCCTTCCCAGTCCCTCTCCCACAGGTTCCGCCGGCAGAGCCTCGACGACATGCTCCGGCAGGACCTGCAATTCTTCGACCGCCCCGAAAACAGCACCGGCGCGCTGACCAGCCGCGTCGACGGCAACCCGCAGTCCATCCTCGAGCTGATGGGCATCAACGTCGGGCTCATCTTCGTCGCCGTCCTCAACGTCCTCGGCTGCAGCGCCCTCGCCGTCGCCTACAGCTGGCGCCTCGGCCTCGTCGTCGTCTGCGCCGGCATGCCCCCGCTGCTCGCCTCGGGCTGGCTCAAGATCCGCTCCGACGCGCGCCTCGACGACCAGCTCTCCCGGCGGCACTCGCGCAGCGCCGCCATCGCCTCGGAAGCCGTGACCGCGATCCGCACCGTCTCGTCGCTGGCAATCGAGGCCGCCGTGCTCGACCGCTACACGGGGGAGCTGGACCGCGCCGTGGCCGGGTCGGTCCGGCCGCTGCTCTCCGTCATGGTGTGGTTCGCGCTGACGCAGTCCATCGAGTACTGGTTCCTGGCCCTCGGCTTCTGGTACGGCTGCCGGCTGCTGGCGCTGGGGCAGCTGTCGCTGTTTGACTTTTTTGTCGCCTTCATGAGCGTCTTCTACTCGGGGCAGGCGACGGCGCTCTTCTTCCAGTTCTCGACGAGCCTCACCAAGGGCAAGAACGCGGCCAACTACCTCTTCTGGCTGCACGACCTGCAGCCGACGGTGCGCGAGACGGAGGAGAACGGGGACGCCGGGCCGGGGGAGTGCGGGCCGCTGACCATGGACGCGGTGCGCTTCTCGTACCCGCTGCGTCCGGAGACGTCGGTCCTCCGCGGCGTCAACCTCGAGGTGAGTGAAGGCCAATCCTAACAAGCAACCAAACCCCTTGCAGCAACTGACGGACACTCTACAGATCAAAAAGGGCCAGTTTGCCGCATTCGTCGGCGCCTCCGGCTGCGGCAAGTCCACCATGATCGCCATGCTGCAGCGCTTCTACGACCCCTCCAGCGGCCGCATCCTCGTCTCCTCCCGGCCCCTCCCCTCCCTCAACCCTCACCTCTACCGGCGCGCCGTCTCCCTCGTCCAGCAAGAACCCACGCTCTTCCCCGGCAGCATCCGCGAGAACATCGCCCTCGGCGCTACTCGGTCCATCACCGACGCGGACGTCGAGGCCGCCCTGCGCGCCGCCAACGCCTGGGACTTCGTCTCCTCCCTGCCCGACGGGGTGCACACGCCGGCGGGCTCCGGCGGCGGCACGCAGCTGTCCGGCGGGCAGCGGCAGCGGGTGGCGATTGCCCGGGCGCTGGTGCGCGATCCGCGGGTGCTGCTGCTGGACGAGGCGACGAGCGCGCTGGACACGGCGAGCGAGCGCGCGGTGCAGGAGGCGCTGGCGGAGGCGGCGCGGCGAGGGGGAGACCGGATCACGGTGGCTGTGGCGCACAGGCTGTCGACGATCAAGGACGCGGATGTCATCTGCGTCTTCTACGCGGGGCGTATTGTAGAAAAGGGCACGCACGCGGAGCTGGTGGCGCTGGGCGGCATGTATCGCAAGATGTGCGAGGCGCAGAACTTGGACTAGATTGCTGGCATGGATGGCGCTGGGCGTTGTGGGCATGGATAGCTGTGTTTCTGGATATATTATGTTTAATTCGCTCGGCTTAATATGATTTCGATTGCTTCACCTAGAAAGAGGCTGTGCCATGGGAACATCTGCCGGGTCTAAACTACAGTCCCATCCCATTGCTTGAATACCAGACGTGAACCGACCCGCGAAATCTCCAGGGCGGCATCTGCAGAGGGGCTAGGCCAGCTCTGGCTGTCCTTGGTAGAGGTAGTATGTACATGGCTGCCCAGGAGGACACATTCTGCACCGCTTGCAGTAACTGTAGTGACAGTTTGTCCAGCAAACCCAGTCTCAGTGCCATGAGGACTGTCGCTTTTCAAATCATGCGGGTCTAGCTGCTGTTGTATTTATTAAGAATTCATAACATAATAAAATATAGCATTTTAAGAATATTTAGATACAACTAGTCATAATAATAACTAGAGTTATAGATATGCTATATCTTCGTTACTACCCAAGAGCACCTCTCGCCACCTCCGGAAGCCGCGCGCTCACTCTCCAACGCTTCATGTACTGTCCAATTTCAACGCCTACATCTTGTATACAGCATGTAAAAAACTACATCTTGCACGGTCTCCGCACAGATCCTACCAAGACTATTTACTAACGCGGTAGCGAGCCAGAAGCTTGTGCATGCGCTTAATCTGCTCGGGTGTGAATCTACTGTAGCAAGCGCTGTTTTCTCCACGTTAGTACTTTCTGCAGCTCGGTGTGAGGGGGATCAAGTACGGCCTCTTAGAAAACTCACTCGCTCGAATAGTCCATGTAGTTATCGATGGGGTCGAGGCCGGGCAGGTCGGGGCAGGTGTCGCGATTGGCCGGGCACTCGCCGTAGTTTGCAGTCTTCTCGTACGGGGTATCGTCAATATAGTCACCAGGGCGGCTATCGTCGCAGCCGTCAGTGAAGGTGTGCAGTAGGCCGAGCCAGTGACCGGCCTCGTGCACGGCCGTCAGCGCCATGTTAAAGACGTTGTCGTTGCCTGGCAGCGTGAAGGAGCCGACTAAGCAGCCGTCCTGTAGGAGCGTATCAGGGACCTCGGGGTCAATCTCGTCGGGGAAGGTACAATACCCGCCGGTGCCGAAGCCGGGAAGCAGGTAGAGGTTGAACGTGCTCGCGTTGCCCTGGTGTAGCTTGCGCTTCATCTTCGCTATAATTTCCATATTCTTACTAGAGGAGCTAGCCCAGGTCTCGTTTTCGGTGTAGGTAGTGTTAACCAGCCGGAAGGCCAGGTTGCTGGGTTCAAAGGCCTTGTTGAGGGCCTTGAGCTGGTCCTGGATGTTCTTATCCTATGAGGTGATGTGTAAGCGCAGTTCGCTCTAAGTTGGAGGAGGAGGAGAACAACGGCAAGAAGAGAAAGTAAGCGCTACATACAGTCAGGTAACCGCCCTTAGCAGTCTCGCTACTATAGACGACGTGGAACCAGGCGTCGAGAGTAATCAGCGACGCGCCATTTTCACGCTTCGTTACAGTCATGCCCGTGGCATGGCGGGCGTATAAACCACTCTCAGACTTGGCGAGCGCTTCCTGGATGATCGCCTCGCCCTGGGCAATCAAGTCCAGGGTTGCTTGATCGCCGCTGACGATGTTATTGTGCATCGCCAGCAGCTCCGGGCTAGGATCGCTCTGGCAGAAGCCCGTGGCGCTGCGTGTAAGATCGGCAGGCCACGCAGCGGCCAAGGGGAGAGCGGCCAGCACGGCGGCGACGACGCCGGTTGAGAAGCGCATGGCGGATGAATGGCAAGTAAGCAGAGTGAAGCGGATCTAGAGTGAGAGTCAAGGCCAGGCCAAATTGGTTCTTGGAGGCAATGATGAGCTGGATGTCCTGCCAAAAGACCTGCGATTGGCAAGGCCAATATATATATACGTTGTACGGTGAGCCATTGTCCAAGTCTGACGAGCCCATCAAAACCAACTGCTGCCCACACCGGCTTTACTAGGTAACAAAATGTAAGCTCCTTGATTGCCTTGTCGGCGTAGTAATAAGACTTATCCGATGATGTCTCCTAAAGCTAGAGCTGATTAAGGTTATCTATAACTAATACTAACTGCGTCCCATCTGGCTAACCTGCCGTATCGAGCATGGCGTGCACATCGCATCACGGTGGTGGGACTGGTGATTCGAATGATATTTTTCTGCACGGAGAGAGAGTGAGTGTGAGAGAGAGAGCCACATTGGGAACGGGAGCGCCCTGATGCTTGGCAATGCTAGAATGAGTGACTGAGCTGCCTAACAGGGACAAAGGGACAATTTAGACTCCTAACAAGTAGGGGAAGGAGACAAGGCAAAAGCAGCGAGCTTTGATACCTGCTTCATCCGGGGGTGTTTCTGGGCAAAATGAGATGCTGGAGAAGAGGAACTTCGGGACGGAGTAAAAGTGCGCAAAGCAAAGCATTGATTGCTTGAACTAGTCTCAGCGATTGAGGCCACGGAACACTTCTCTTGGTCCATGAGACAAGGCCGAAAGGGGAGATGGGAACTAAATAACACAGGGAAAATGCAATGGTAGTTGAACCGTTGGATTAGCCGTGACGAACCCTGAATAGGCATCATTCTAGAATAGAAACTGGCTAGGTTTTCCGAGCAAACACATGGCGAGAATCACGGTTTCGGTGCCAACAAATGGCGCCGGAGTTATACCCCAGAGTGAAATCGGAGTAGCCGTGTCTAGAGCGACGCGACGGTGGAGGACTAGACAGCCTATAGGAATAGCTCATTCTATCGAGTGATCCCCTCGATTGGTCATTCACATGATGCATTAAGTCCTCCTAAGATCAGTCCTGCACATTCCGACTCTAGTAAGGACATGAAAAGGAAGGTGAAGAATAGCTGGGGCTGAGTCTCTCCGCCGACGACACTAATAAAAGTAAGGTTATCGCCAGCATAGCCCGCTTCGTGTAAGCCACGAATCGAACTAACTAACTAGTTAACTAGTATTCTTCGGGTCACGTCATTGGTTCGAGGCGCACAATCTCGTTTGTCCTCAACTATCGGCACTGCTTCATTCTCGGGAGCCCACGTCGAGGCGCGTGCAGCCAGCCACATGATCTGCAGGCTGATACACAATAACTGCTACGTGCTTATACATAGCACAAGGATATCTGGGGTTAAATCCTTTGCCGTGCCACTAGCTAATAAGCCAGCTCACCACGCACGCCGTCTCCAAGCCACAGCACAGTCGACCAACGGCGCTGCATAGAACGGCCCGGCACAACCGAGCCAAGTCCCCGAGCTAAGCAGACAAGTCTGGAAGGAGAGGAGAGGAGAAGCCACGAAATATATTCATTTGATAACCTTCCAAAAGCAGTTGATCTGGGCGCGCCTCTTAACAATGTGGTGTCCAAGAGTCTGGCTCACCAAGAGAGCAGCGGTGCTTGAGCCGGAGACAACGAGGGGTTCCCTGACAAGATTCGGAGCACGGGGTACGGAGTAGAACCGGGCTCTACCGATCTGTCGACGAGGTAGGATATAGCATTTACCGCCGACTTGCCTGATAGTACGGTAGTGTAGGCGGAAGGGGTCAACCATGGGGGAACCATCCAGGTGATCCTTCACCAAATCTCCAAAACGATTGACCATTCCTTGTTGCATCCGACCATGACGGAGGAGGAAGTCCGCGCCAGCCTTCGTATTGCCCGCAAGTACTCCGTCGCCACCGCCCGCGTCAAGCTCCTACCACATACCATGGGCCATGGAGGAGCTGCGCGAGGACCGCATTGTCCAGCTGTGCCCGATCTGCTCCGACGTCGGGGTCGCGTTTGTCAAGACGTCTACCGGGTACGGGTTCGTGAAGCGGGCGGACGGCTTGTACGAGTGCAACGGGGCGACGGCGCCGCACCTGAAGCTCCTGCGGGAGCATTCGGGGCCGGGAGTGCAGATCAAGGCGGCGGACGGCGTGCGGACGCCGGATGACCTGCTTCACGTCATGTCGCTCGGCATGACGCGCATCGGTGCCACGGCCACAGTGACCATCATGGAGGAAGCTGTCAGGAGAGGCATCACGGAGCAGCCGTCTATTGTCACCTTCAAACCCATGCAAGAGAATAGTCAGTAAAACTAGCCGGCCCAGGACTTGCATATATGTAGGACAGGTTATTGTATCAGCTTGACTTGATATAAATTCGATTTCTTGACCTAAAAATAGTTGTGCTATGGAACATCTGACTCTTCTACCTACAGCAACGACGCCGAGGTGCATGCACACCTCCAGGGCGGCGTCGAAGGGGACGAAGGGCCCGGTCAGGTTCGGCGCGCTACCCGGAAGCTGTGCGTCTCTGGGGAGCAGATTTCGAATGGCGCCCGTTTTTAGCACGTCGCGGTGATGACCGGCAGCCTCGAGCAGCTGCGTCAAGTTGACCATGGCGCGGTCGAGGCGATCTGCAATTCTCCTTCCTTGCCAGTCAAAGTATCCAATAGCTGCTTGATTAGAAGACTTTGCTGCACTGATCTGCATTCCGGAAGCTTACTTGTCCACTCGTCTCTATCAGCCGTGTTATCAGGCTGCTTAGGAAGTGCCATCCACAACTCCATCACAATCACGCCCATCGACCAGATGTCGACCTTTACCGTGTACGGCGGCCGGGCAAGCTCCGGTGCCGCATACCGCCCCGTGTCGCAATATGTCGTATGTTGGCTGGCTCTGCTCGACACTCCGAAATCAGCGAGCTTGGCATGTATAGGGTACCGGGTCATGATCAGGATGTTCTCTGGCTTGACGTCGCGGTGACTGATTCCCTGGCTGTGTAGGTGGTGCAGCGCCTGGAAGGTGGGAGGCGGACAGCGCCACTACTCAGGGTGAGACTTACATGCGCGCTCAGCGTGGCAAGTATGCCAATCTCCTTGAATGCCGCCGCGGCTGCCGAGCTGTTGTCGTCGTAGCGCTTAATCGCGACAACGTCGCCAGTCACCTTATGAGACCCAAAGTATACGATGGAGGAGACCCCGTTACCAATGATGTCACCTAGCCTGTAATCGCCCTGTATTCAGCTACTAGAAGCTTGCGCAGACACAGCCATCGTGCTGGCCAGGCACATCGCCCTTAGGTTTGGGGTCTCCTGGGCGAGCTTTGAGAGGAAGGAGATGTACTGCGGAGAGCCGATAACGCAGTCATCCCACGGTCGGGTGAGTTCTATTGTCAGATTTAAAAAAAAAACACACTTTAATCGTCCCCTGTTGCGAAAAGCTTCTCTGCGTCCGCAGATGCGTACGCTGGCCCTCTACGCGGATATTCGTGTGATAGCTCCGTAATAGGTTGCGCAATATGACAGCACCCGTGGCTGTATTGAACGTGATGGCAAACTGCTGCTTGCCAATGCCGACCGAATCGGACGGAAGCAGCACATCGCATTCGCCACTCTCACTGTCAAAGACAAAGCCAACGCTGCGGTCGTTGGGAAAATGGTCCGTCGTGATGCACAGGCTGCCGTCTGGCGGAAGTGGTACGGGCTTGGGCGTACTGTGTTCACTCTGGTAAACGACAGCAGGACGATCATCAGGAAGTCCGGCATCTTCAGTTGTGCGGAAGCGGGAGTTGTGAGGATGGTCAGTGATGTAGGTCGGGGCTCGCACAGAGATGATTGTCCACGTCATGATGTCGGGAGATGTATAGTGAAAAGTTGAGATTTATTTAGGGGCTTGGGGCTTGGGGCTTGGAATTTATAAAACGGTGGGAGGCATCTATCGTGCTTACCTGTACAAGATCTCTTCAGCAATCGAGTACGAGAACCAATCGTTGGGTGTTGCAGACGTGTACGGCGTTCAAGTTGTCACACGATAGATTAAGCCTTCAATAACAGTGGCACGAACGACATTACAGAATGGCAATGATCGTGTCGACCATCTTTTTTGGCGAATCTCAGGCTTATCGACGGCAGGATGGGACGGACTCCTTCCAGTAAATAACCGACGTGGTATGTCGTTAATCCAGCTACGCGGCAGGCAAAACTGCTCGTCGCTTTAGAACAGACCACTCTTGTTGTGCTATAAATACGAAATTATGAAAGAGTGCGAGAATTTCTCTTTCTAGGGGCTGGGGCTACACGAACGAGTTTCATCTCGTATGTGCCTGAAGACCGTGAGGTGGTCACGCATGCACAACTCTTTTCCCTCCTCCTCGTACCTATAACTATTTGTCCGGCCGATGTTTCGCCTACCGAGAACTTGTACATATCGGATAAGGTCAACTTGGAAAATCTGGCCCTAACTAATGGGTGACTCGTAGCCTGTCGTACAACGCCCAGTACGGCTACAACTACCTGACAGAGATAACGGACTGCACGGCTATATTCCGAGCATCCTCGTCGGTTTATCTGGCAATTGCTGCATCATGGCTACCATGGATACCATGCCTGTGAACGACACCGGCCTTCTCTTTCCGATCATGAAAACCACGCCTGGAAATGGCATCGACCTCTTCTTTCCGATAACTTCTCGCCCCTACAGCGACAGCAGCTGTTCCGGCCCTCCCTCAGGTGGCTGCACCTTCTGCACGTTCAACAGCTCCACGGCCACCGATCCCCTCTGGCACGAGCCCGTCAGATGCCTGCAGCGCCGGAAGGGTGACGTCGCCTATGTGATGCGAAGCCTCCGGAAGCAGGGCGAGGATGGCCTGGCGGTCATCCTGCGGCAGCCGCTGCGCATGCGCTGGCAGCATACCAACTTTCTGATAAACGAAGGGCATGCCGAATTTCTAATGGAAGACGGCAGGCCCCTGCCCGACGATCTGGGCTTTTGGAAGGCGAGCCACGCGTACTTCTATCGGGAGTGGTACAGAATTCGCGTGGCTAGGGGGGAGGTGGTTTGTAAGCTGAAGGAAAGGACGAGGAATCCGGTCCTGGACTGCCGAATTCAGGGCTGGGTAACCGGGGTGAAGGCGGCGCGGGATGCGGACGGGTTGGAAAACATCGCGGAAGCTACCGAAATTGAGTGGCCGTCGGCGCCGGAATTTCCAGCAGTCAGTGCACGTCAAGACATGCCCAGAAGCACTTGTCGATACAATATTACCGGCGACGCCCTCTCAGGGACATCGTCAACGCAAGGGCGCAAACGCAAATCCATAGATACGACCAGCCAGGTTGATCACGAAGACATGGCGTGGAGGAAGCGTTGGCTGCACAGTAATCCGGGATACGATTACTCCATTGCAGACGATGAATGGGATGAGGGCAAGATCTTACCAGCAAAACGACTCGAGCGCAAACCTGCCGACACCGGAGATCAAGGAAATGAAGCAACGATGCCGCCCTCAAAAAGACGGAAGCGCCAAGAACAAAACGAAAATGCAAGCGAGAAAAGGCATACTGCTCCAGCCAAGCAAAGATGCGACGGAGGGAAGAAGGTTGAAGTTCCAGTCGCCCCGACTCGGCAGAGCAGTCGAATAGCAGCCAGAAGGAAGGATTTGGTAATAATAAAGCTGGAAAGTGCAGACACAGTACAGGTGAAGCAACCGCAGCAGCCGCCTCGACGCAGTCGTCGTATTGCTGAGCTTAACAAGGCAAAGAAAATCAAGATCAATGGGTTTATTAATCTGGGGGATTTTCTCCCTGCAGAAGTGGACGAGTTTGGGTCAGGCAGCGCGGTTTGTACAATACGAATGACTTAGTTTGCATGTACGAAGTCATAACAATTCAAGGTACTCAAGTTTTTGGTAGTCGCCCCTCGGAAGCCGATGTACCATTAATCCACATACTTGTTGATACACCAAAATTCAGCTAATAATCCCTGCACTTTTGTATCGTCATTGTATGTATGTACATACGTCTGGGGCAGTGGGTAAAAGGACCTGCTGGAGCCTCCGCACATACAAAGGGATAGGTCGCTGTAACGTAGGCCGCGGGCTCTCCTCAGTGCCAGTTCGCCGCGAGGCTTTGATCAGATCAGTATCGTGTGCCAATGGAGAGTCCGCAGCGTCGCCGCGGGCCATGGCGCGACCTCTTGGGGCAAGCGGGGGTGGGGGGGGGGATGTCATGCGTGCACTGACACATGACTCTCACAGGCAGCAGAATGAAATGCTTCACTGGGAAAGACAGTCTATCACGCAGAATTGGCTTTTTCTTTGTCCATGGAGAGCGTTGGAAATGACGGCCAACAACTCGTCCAAGAGAAGTAGTGATTAATTATGTAGGTGTTCTCCTTGTGACAAAACATGGACAACTTTCTTCGTGTCCCCTGTAGCCCTGACCTTTTTAGCGGGGTTGATTTTAGTGGCGCTCCAGGCCTTTGGGGCCGTCGCCGCCGCAGCCGAGACCCCGGTACGGAACCTGCTGAGCTGCAGGTATTCGATGCAGTACCAGCTGCATACATATCCGGACACCAGGCGGGCCCGATGAATTTGTGCTATTTAATGGTAGTGCTAATCACTACCAAGACGTGCTGAAATTGTCTCAATCAACTGAACGGTATTCCATTGTCCAGCAGCCAACACCCAAACACGTTACAGTGCGTGCATGCCTTCAAGCCTCCAAGGCTCTCCCCCGCACGAGACACCGCACTGTCCGCTAACTAAAAACACCAAGAAACCAGCCGCTAACTGTTAACGTACTAGTATACAAGGCAACCAAGGCGGGCAACCCGTCCTCCCTTCCCCTCCCTCTCTCTATTGACGAATCGTCAGTGGCTCGTTAATAAGGGCACTAGAATCCCCTTGCAACCTCGCCTAACCTCAGCTCGTGTTGTTTTGGACACTCGCTTTGCTCCCTCGAACTTGCCTTCCTCCCTTGTCTGCAGACTGCGTCCTCCATCTTCCAATTCCTCTTCAACCATCACATTTTCAGCGCTGCACCCAAGCAAACGCAAGTGTCATTCTTTCCTTTTTAGCATCGGTATTTTCCACCGGCTCTCACCGGGCTTGTTGGGCTACTGCCAGGTACGTGCCGTTTGTTATTTTAAGCTTTTTAAGTCCGTCCGACAAGGCCGGCCGCGTGAGAATCCCTTTGGTGCTAACGGCTACTTGTTTTCACACGCAGTCTTTCTTTATCAAGCATCGCACCGCCTGCAGCGACCTGTTCCCGTTGACAACTGCAGTGCCACCGCAGACGGCGACGCTTCTTCCATTTTGGCACACTGCATCCGCGACGTACCGGACCGCACTCCGAGCCTGCCGAGGCCGCTCGCTTCCCTCCACCCGTTTCTCCCTCGACAGCACCACAGTGCGCGCCGACCACCATGTCCGACGACGGTCCGCTGCTCATCCGGCCCGTGCCCCAGCGACCCTTTTCCCTCCGTCGACAGAGCGCGACCCCTACAGATGACGAGCCAGACGGCACCTCCTCTTCCACCACCGCCGCCCCCGCCGGGCCCATCGGCACCACCACGTCTTCGCCCGGCCTGCACAGCCACCTCACCGCCGCCCTCGCCGCCTGGAACCGAAGCACCGGCGGCGGCGAGGCCAACCCCTCGGAGCACGCCTCGCCCGCCATCAGCCGCCCGGCCTCGATTATGAATCTGACCTCGTCGACACTCTACGGCATCTACTCACCAACCACCGGCGGGCCGCGCGACCGCGACGACGTCGTCGACGACTCCCCCTGGGGCATGGGCGCGCAGACCCCCGTGTACCGGCCCGGCCTCGACGAGCCCACCTTTGCGCTGATGCGCGAGCGGTCGCACCTTGACCGCCGCCGCTCGTCGTACAGGGGCGCAGAGATGCCGCGCGGCCCGTCGGCCAACATGAGCAGCCTCCAGGTCGCGTTGCGCACGGCGCTGCTGTTTGTGCTCGGGCTGGGGTATGGCGCGCTTGTCACCCGCCTGCACGACGACGACGACAGGATGCGCACCGGTGCGGCCACGGACGGCCCGGTCGCGCCGCGCCGCGGCTTCAACTCGACGTACCTGGGCGCCTGGGGCGTAGCGGGCGTCGTGCTCGGGTCCCTACTGCCTTGGTTCGATGGCGTCTGGGAGGCGTACTATGGCGTCTGGGACGCCGCGGCGGAGGAGGATGACGTCGTGACGGATGGCGACAACGCACCAAGCAAGGCCGTCGATACGGGACTCGACTATGCGTTGGTGATGCGCGCAATCGGCTCGTTTGTTGGTATCTTCTTTGCCATTGTAAGTTTTTTCTTCCAACCTCGACCGATTCCTCCCTTCAGTCTAACAAGAGAAACCTCACAGCGTAAACTTGCATGGGACTCGACGTTGCAGATCTCCGCCACGCTGGCGCTGGCCAACCCGCTCCTGTGGTGGCTCATCGACCGCTCGATGCCGGGCTTGCTGCTCTCCGCGGCCGTCGGTGTGGTGGGCTCCCTGCTGCTTCTCGGCATCAGCCCGGACATGATGCCGACTCCGTCACTGCAGATTCTGCGCCAGGCTGGCACAGTTAACGGCACCGGCACCGGCACCGGCGAGGGCGGTGGTGCGGCGGCACCGCGCGCGACAGCGGACAACCAGACGATCGAAACGGGCGTGTGGATGGTGAGCGTGCTGTTTTGCAGCTGTCTCTGCTTCGGCAACATTGGGCGCCGGCTGTTTACGGGACGCACGTCGGCGGGCAAGACCCGTTGGGGTGGCGTGCGATGAATGACTATACATATGGCCTCTGCATATAGTGTGTATCACGTTTGGAATCTTGTTGTTTTTGCGATGCAAACTTTCTTGTCACGGGAATGGCGGCGATCATGTTTTCTTCTGGATAAAGCATGTCAGATACCCTGGATGTGATTTTTACGGTCTGCAGCAGACAGAGTGCTGCTGCGAGCCCAGCGATGTTGTATTGTTTTATTTTGTGTTTTGTTTTTTCATTGCGTCTATTGGCTGAGCGGGATGGGCGTTTATCAATTGGTAAACTTCTAGTCACACGTGCCAGGGCGGGCTGTGATGAGAGCTTACAGCGATTTTTTGTCTTGATTGCACTAGTGGCATGTTGGGATAACATCATAATCAAGGTATATAATAATACTTACGAACCGCCGTGCATGTGAACGCCATTGTGCAGCATGTCGTAGACGACGAGCTGGTTAAGAGCCTTTCTTTAGCTGGTATAGGTGAGATGGATGGTGCGAAATGCATGACCCGCCTGCATGACATCATAGACAACTGTATGGCCCAACTGGGGGGATGCGCGGCCAATACATGACAGTGCTAAGGATGAATGATGAGAAGTACATGAGTGGCAAAGACGAGTTATTGGTGATGTCGTAAAATAAGGAAATTTTTGTAGAGGAATTTGGGTGGTTGGTCCAATGCTTCAACCCAGTAGTTACACAAGTAACTATTGGTTCTCTGAAAAAGCAGCTGGACAAGTACACATGGGTCTCTCAGGCTGCGGCCACGAGCGCGCAGGCATAGAGACCCTGAAGCTCGTCCAAGTCCGAAAGTCATCGGCTGGACCAAGACCAGCACCGTGGCATTGGGAAGTTGAGGTCGCAGCCATTAAAGGGAGGGAGGGAGAGTGATGGGCTAGGCTTGCGAGACATGAACCAGGCCGAAAAAGGAAGCATGAGCCTCTGCCACCTGCAGCAAGTACATCATGATCCATCCAAGCCACTAAACCGGGGGCAACAAGATTCAGCGGGCGGGTAGAGCAGAGCAAGCAACAAAGCATGAATGAATGGATGAATTGTGGGAGTCTAATGATGATTTAGTAGATACCACACTCATGCTGCCCACAACATATCGTGCATGTCATCATCCATTGGTTGAGGTCGCAGTGCAGGATTGTCGTTTATTACAACCCGTCATCAGCAAACTGCAAAGAGACGACCAGACGCTCACAGAGACGGAAAAGGAACGCCACCGACCAACCGTTTAATGCTAGCTTCCCCTTGTTGTCGCATGTCGCAAGGGTCTAGATTATTAGTTGCAACAGTCAACAAGTCGACGATGTCATGCCCAAAAATGCACCCGCTTTTTGTATGACCACCTTTTGCGCCTCGTGTACATCAATCAGCCCGCCGGCCCCGGCTTTCCCACCCTGGCCCGTCTTTACTGGTGTTTGGCCCTTTTCTTAATTTATTTCTGTTCTTTGCTCTCGTCATCCCTTTTTTTTTTTTTTTCTCCTTTCTCTTCGTCAAGTTTTATATGAATTTCACCCAAAAGTCGGCGTCTTATACCGTGTGTCCGCTGGTAAAAGCCGTCCGTTTGTTGTACCTGGTATTCGGCAAGAGCCCTTACCCGGCTCCTTCCTCACTACAAAGATCCGCCAAAAAGTCCTCCTCGGTCCGTCCGTCCGTCCACAAGCCAGCCCGTCTCACACACCACCTACCTACAAACAGTGCATCGCAATACAATACATCATGACATTCGCCCCCCTTGGACGACACAGTACTCTCGCCTCCACTTGCTCCACGGTTCAGTAAACGCTTACCCGGACATCTGCCTTCATTCTTTACCGTCCAACTTGATCCTCCGTCCAACTCTCGCTCTTGTTTGCTCTCGCTCCCCTCCCTGCTCAACACGCACGACGAAACGCCTGCACCTGCCTGACTCTGTGCAGTTTCAAGTACTCGTTCGGCCACATCCTACACCAGACTCTCCGCCGCCGTTCCTAACTGGTAGATACCTCCGCCATATTCATTTTCGTCCTCCTCCAATCGCCTTTGTTGGAGGCACCGGCGCGCTTCTTCGCTGACTCGCGCAACTGGCGTCTACCCAAATCAACCCGCCAACTCATCTCTGTCCTCTTCATGTCGTCAGATGCCTCGAGGCATATTGCCACTCCGAGGCTTGATCCTCAACTTTACGATGCCACTACCCCCCTAGCCGACACAACACCTACATCAACAGACGCGCTTCACAAGCTTGAGGAGTTTCCGTTTCCCCAACACTCACAACCGACCGCCCCAATGTCCGCCATAAACCTACCAGAGCCCAACTCCTCCTCTCGGCCCCCGGGCTTCCTCTTAAAAGACGTCATACACCTCTTTCACTGCCAATCATGCGACAAGCTCCTCAACCAGCCCGTCACCCTCCCGTGCGGTAGGAGCATATGCAAGCAGTGCATCCCACAACCTCATCTCCGACGTCGCATCTCTTATCCGGCCATAGACGACCGCCTCGAGGGCTTTCGCTGTCCCTTCCCGTCCTGCGCAAAGGAACACACGCTCGGAGATTGCAGTATTGACGTCACCCTTAGCAAGCTTGGAGAGTATGTCCGCGACGAGATTACCCTTCAAGAGTCAACCGTCGCCAGCCAACCAGTCACGGATGATGCAACTGCGCAAATACACATTCCTCCCTCAACGAATATGCAAGAAAAGGCCACTCACCTGGACCACAACCATGAGATCCAAGCACAAGATCATAATGTATCATACCAACAAACAGACCCTGAAGCTCAATTCAATAAGGAGCATTCCGACGACAACTTCAGGCAAGAAGCGTCGTCATTTGCCAAGACCTTGCAGCTCGCTCGCTCGGAACTCGACTGCCAAGTCTGCTACGCCCTATATCACGATCCACTAACTACCGGCTGCGGCCACACTTTTTGTCGCTCTTGCTTGCACCGCATTCTCGACCACTCTCGATACTGTCCCCTTTGCCGTTGCCGCCTATCCATCAGCCCCCTGCTCAACCGCGAATCATGCCCATCCAACGCCCACCTCACCAAAATCATCGAGACATTCTGGACGGATGAGCTGGCTGCTAGAAGACTAACCGTCGAAGCTGAAGATGCCGCGCGGTCACAGGATCTCCAGACGCCGCTTTTCATCTGCACCCTAGCCTTCCCGCAGATGCCTACATTCCTGCACGTCTTTGAGCCAAGGTATCGTCTGCTCGTACGACGTGCCCTCGAGGGTGACAAGACCTTTGGCATGGTCCTACCGAAGCGACCTCGCTACTTGGGGGACGCCAGCTTCTATGAACTGGGCACCCTACTGCGCATAGAGAATGTACAATTCTTCCCAGACGGCCGCTGCCTCATCGAAACCGTCGGTCTTTCCCGATTCCACGTACTAAGGCACGGCTCGCTCGACGGTTATGCTGTCTCATCCGTGGAGCGCATCGACGACATCAGCCTCGAAGAGGAGGAAGCTACCGAGGCTGCCGAGATGGCTGCCGCTGCCACTGCCGATGCTGCCCAATTCCCGCCGCCCGATATTGCCGGCGACCACGGCTTCCCCAGCGACGCCGCCTCTAGCAGCACGCCAACAACGCCAGCGGCAACCGTCACCGTCCCGAGTCTGGAAACTATGACGACGCGCGACCTCATGCAGCTGGCTACGGATTTCGTCACCCGTATGCGTGACCAGAGCGTGCCGTGGATGACGGACCGTATGCTGGCCATCTACGGCGAGTGCCCAATGCAGGACCCCGCCGCCTTTCCCTGGTGGCTAGGTAGCGTTTTGCCCGTTAAGGACGCCGAAAAGTACCGCCTGCTCGGATCAGCGAGCGTGCGCGAGAGGCTCAAGATTTGCTGCCGCTGGATCATAGAGTGGGAAACTAAGACCTGGTACGCCTGCCAGGCCCCGACCCGATAAAAAGACAAGGTTGAAGAGCATGAGAAAAGCTGACGTGCTCAGGTCTTTTAATACATGTTCCATCCTGTGAACGCAAGGCTCCCCAGGGCTCTTCACGCAATAACGCAACCACATCTAACATAAAGAGGGCGACACAGTCACTACCAGCGTTTGTACATATCTGCATATACCCGGTTGCGGGGGTCATTGAATAAATCTCTCGAATCCCAAATTTGGTCGTGCTTGAAGAATGTATAAACTATTAAACACGTCGCAGCCTGTATCCTTGCCCCGAGACCTTTCTTACCGCCATCTGTGAAAAGAATGAGAACGAAGAATTACACCAAGACGCCATCAACATCTACCACGAGTCTGCGGCACCGTTGGTGCTCTGCGCCATGCTCGGGTCGCCCCATGCCGGCGTCTCTGTGGCCGTCGTTGCCACCGGGATGGACTCCCACGAGCCAGGCATGACGTTGTTGGTCTCCGCCGGCGGCTCGCTGGCCGCCGGGGCATCCCACGAGCTTCCGCCGTTATTGGTGTCGGTTGCATTGTTGTTGTTGTTATTAGTGCCCCAACCATCACCGCCGCCGTTGTTGCCCGCATTGTTATTATTGTCCCAACTACCACCGCCACCGCCATTGTTATCCCAGGCACCACCACCACCGCCATTGTTGCCGGTGTTGTTGCTATTGTCCCAAGTGGTGTTGCCTCCGCTCCCGTTCCAGGTGTCGTTGCCCGCCGCGCCGTCACCCCACGTGTTGTTGGTGTCCTGCGCTGGTTGACCGTTGTTGTTGTTGTTGTTGTTGTTGTTGTCCCAACCGGAGGTGTTGGTGTCCTGGTGGTTTGTGTCTGCTGGCGGTGCCGCGGCGGACCTGGCAGGGCTGTTGTGGTGGCTCTGACCGCGGCCGCGCAGCTCGGCGGCCGTCTTGCTGGGCGTGTAGTACGGGCTCGTCGTCTTCTTCTCATCAATCTTCTCATGAAACAACTCCATTAGACATGAATCACCTCCCACTTATGGAGCTTGGGGCTGGTCTTGAAACAGATACACATACCTTGCTTGTCGGTAGGACGTTATTGCCGCCAGCCTTGTCGCTGGCTTGGCTTACGCTCAGCGCTGCCGCGTTACTGTTCTTGCTGAACGCGCCGTTACTGTACTGTCCTCCCGGAGCGGCCTCCTGCTGCGGCTGCGGCTGCTGCGGCTGTTGCTGCGGTTGAAACATGGGATTCATCACAAACGGCGGGAACCCCGGCGGCTGCTGTGGAAACGGGTTGCCGCCACCGCCGTTCTCGTACCCGGGCACGTGTTGGAATCCGTAATAGTACGGGTTCTGCGACGGGTGTGGCACGCCGAGGGGCAGGGGCCGGCCGGCCGCCCCGCGCCGCGGGTAGAGGGACCGCGCCTGAGGGTTGTGGTTGCCGTACACGGGGCCGTAGTACACGCGCATCACGTTGGTGGCGGCATCGTAGAAGGCGTTGGGCGGCGGGTCGTCCGGCGTCTCGACGACGTCCTCGGTCTGCACGACCTGCGCGCGGATCGGCGCGATGAGGTTGGGCCTCCGCGCGTGCGGACCGGGAAAGGCTTCCGGGTAGGAGAAGGGCGAAGGCTTCTTACCGGTGACGTTGCCGCTGGGGGCGGAGGCCTTGCTGTCGTCGATGGCCGCCTTTGTCTCCTCCTTTTTCTTCTTGTCCGCAGCGGCCGTGGCCTTTTTCTTGTCGGCCTTGGTCTCGGTAGGCTTTTTGGCCTCTTCTTGCTCATCGTCGGTCGTTTCCGTGCCCGACTCGGAGGCCTCGTCGTCGGCGTCCGAGTTATCCTTCTTCTTGCCCTTTCCTTTATCCTTTTTCTTCGACTGCTGCTGCTGTTGCTTTTTGTCCGTCTTCTTCTTTGACTCTTTTTGCTTCGCTGCTTTCTCGTCATCAGTGTCAGAAGACGCAGCGCTGTCCTCTTCAGACTCGCTCGCGCTCCTGTCCTTGTTCTTGCTGCTGGCTTTCTCCTTGCCGGCCTTTCGGCGCTTCTTGATGCATCGAGAGCACGTGCACGTCGGGTGCGGCTCGTCGTCGCTAGCGCTCTCGTCACTAGATGACTTGTTCTTCTTCTTCTTGTCCTTTTTCTTGCCCTCGCTCTTGGGGGAGGACTCGCCTTCGGAGGAGCTCTCCGCCAGCGTGGCCGAGCTGTCCGACTCCTCGGCCTTTGTTTGCTTCAAGGCAGATTTCTTGGCAGTGCTGCTCTTCTTGTTGTCGTCCTCGAAGCGGACCTTTTTGACGACGGCCTCGGCGGCCTGCTCTGCCACTTCCGCCACGGAGGACCTGGCTGCTTTGCCAGAGCGAGGAAAGGTAATTCTCAGCGTGTCCTCCTCTTTCTCATCGTCTGTGGTGACTTCGACCCGGATCACATCGCTAGGAGGAGGCGGTGCCGGCGGCGGTGGTGGTGGTGCTGGCTTTGGTGCTGGCTTGGGCTTCATGGCGCGGCGAGCAGCCGGCAGAGGGGCGCCAAGGACCCATTCGCAAAACAGGATTGGGCCGGTATTTTTCTTGCGAGGCATCTTTTTGATAATTCGGCAGGACGAAGTGCATGACGAGATTATGTGCTGGACTTCATGAACAACAGAAGCTGTAAGGAGAGGTCGAGTCGTTCTGAGAAATCGAGTGCCAGTAACTCTGGTTGCCAGTGGCAGCGTCCTTCACTTGTTGCTGAGATGGCAACCACGACACTACAAACGGAGTAGATTTGTTCTACAAAGAAAACGCGGCGTCTCAGTCAATTTACAGAGCATCATCGAACGGGCATGGGCATAGGGAGCGTAACTCATGCCCAACGATATTGTTCTTTAATCAATTCTGCGTCGTTTTAATCCTGTAGGATATTTGCAAAACAAACAGGTAGCACTTGGGCTTCCTTCCTTCCGAATTCTTTCGCTTCTTCATCCCAAGAGGAATCTATTCTTTCTCCGCGCACCTTGGGCCCAGCCTGGCTGCTCTCCGAGTCAGCACATTCTCCATTCCTTTCAATCGGCGTCCAGTCTTTGTAGTTCACAGTATATAAGAAAAACTGCGTTAATATCTATTAGCAGGATTCCTATTCGCATATACAGGGATTTTTTTTTCCTTTTCACCAAACTCACCTAGTCCGGAAGTCGAACGGCATAGAACCAGCCTTCATCGGTGACGTACCAGCGGCAGTCGCCCATGTGGTCAATAGTAAACCTGTTGCGCTGAGTCCAGTTCCCGTCAACTTCACGAACGTAGTAAAAGCGCGAGGGGTCGTCGTCTGCGGGCTTGAACTCCTGGGGCTCAAAGAGCTTGTTGGCGTGTGCAAACTGCAGCTGCCGCAGCGTCTCCTCCCCCTGGGTCCGCCCCAGACCAGACACGTCGGGGGGGAAGCCACTATTACCTGCAATGACGGGGATCCCTGGGCCGCCGCCGCCACCACCACCGCCTCCAATGACCTGTGGTCCGGGCGCGGCCTGCATGAGGCCGGGCTGGCCGGCGAGGAAGACGGGCTGCGGGGTGGCAAAAGGCTGGGGAATCATGCCGGGCTGCTGGGCGACAACGAAGCCAGGTTGGGCGACGGGCACGGCGCCGTAGGCAGGCTGCTGCAAAGAAAAGTTAGCAAACAGTCCCAGATTTCAAATGAATGTTGCGGAGGAGGGAAGGGTTGAATGTAGTGTGCAATGCAAAAGAGTTTGGCCAGACAACTGCGCTGAAAGGTTTCACTCGAAAGTTTTCATTCAAATTATGCTGGCCACTTCGTCATCGCCTGCCAGCCGCCACACACACACAACCGCTACCGTTCTTTTCGTTTTGCGTTTTTTGCACGCGAGGAAAGAAACACTTGCATAGTAGTTGAAGCCATCGGTGTAGAAAGTCTTTGGTATGATGACGGTGAACGAGGGAGGGCAAGGATCTGCTGGAACGTGAACAATCTGCAAAAGGGGAAGACCGACAGGAGGACCCGACGGCGCGGGGGCGTACGCGGCGTCGAAGCGAGGCACGTAAACGTGAGGGATGGGGCCAAAGGTGGTGTCGGGCACCGGAGGCTGAAAGTTGACGCCGCAGGCTGGCGGGCCAGCGTTTTGGTAGTTGGCCATGATGTTGTCCCGGACAGCCGAAGCAGACGCAGAGCAAGCAGCAGCAGTACCAGCGGCGAGAGCAGCAGAGGACCTTTGTTGATGATGGAGCACGCGGTGGTGATAGTGCAGTAAGTTTGGAGAAGGGGGGAACGAAGGTGGAGGGGGGGCAGAAGAGGAAACAGGAGGAACGTGAAAGTGATGATGGTGGTGATGATGAACAAGGGCGTGAAATACCGGGTGGCAAATGTTGTTAAAGGCAGCATAGTGAGGAGGGACAGCCGTTGGATAAAAGTGAGCGCCAGCTGCCGGCACGCCGTTTGCAAACAGAGGCAGGCCGCCAGCCTGCTGCCAGAATCCTCCGTTTGAAGGCAGCTGCTGGGGGTACTGGGGGTACTGCTGGTACTGCGGCTGGCTCAGGCTCATTCGCGGGTCGGCGCTGGTATACCACTGCCCAGGTCCGAACTGGCCAGGAGGCGAGCCGACCTGCGGGAAGCTCGTAGGCTGGTTGTCGACCGGAGGAGGTGCGGCTTGCCCCTGGGACTTGCTCGACGTTGACGACGACGCCGGTGTTGGTTGTGCCTTGCTGGGAGCTGGGCTGTTGGGGGCGGACATGGCATGCGGCGGGGGAGGATACTGCTTCCCGCCGCCGTTGGCGTCAAAGTGGACGTGTTTGCCATTCTGCTGCTGCTGGGGCGAGATAGACTCCTTGCCTTTGCGCGACGTCCGGCTCGAGTCGTCGACGTCAGGCATTCTGCAAGATACTGCGCCGATTCCGCGCGCGAAGAGAGTGTGGTGGTGGCGATGCGTGTGTTGCAGCGATGCCAGCAGCTTCGAGATGGGGAGAATGAGGTAGTAGACGGAAGATTGGACAAGCGCCGAGAGAACGGGCATATCCCGAGAGGAAAAAAGAAGATGCAACGAATAGTAGGAATGACAACAAGGTAATAAAACGAGAGAGGTGGTGACGGTTCTGCCGGGCAAAGGGAGCAAACGCAGCAACATGCTCCGGCAAGAAGCCGACGGGTTGGGGGCTGCTGAGAACATTCTCAGGCTGATATGAACGGTGACAGACTGGCAGTGATGGGGCCATGAGCACGATTGCTTGCTGTTGTTGTGGAATCAAACAAAGACGTAGGGAAATGCCCATCACTTACAAGCTGTTGCAGCTGCCACGATGCGCCGTCGTGAACCCAGACAGACTGTTCGGGCATTCTATCAAGCGGATCTTCGTATTCCGTCCAAGTCCACGGGAAGCATTTGCACATGACTGAGCTAGCGATAACTCGCGGATAAAGGTGCACAGGCCGTGGGTATGATGAGGTTGTTGTTGCGGCAAAAGTCTCCTTCGCCAACGCGAGAACTGGCAGCAAGAGAGGCCTGGCTCGAGCCCCGAAAACAGCCCAGATTCACAAACGCACACAAGAGAGCCGCCAAACACCCCTCGCGGCGTGCATTCACTTCACCCTCAGCTTCATTCAAAGCTCCAAGTTGCATGAATAAGTATTGAGGACCAACGCCGTGGCCTAAATGGTCTAATGCTCACTGGCCCGTTTGCCAGATTGTTAATGTACATTTGTGTTCAAAAATAGAGAAACTCATTGGAGGAGAGTTTGTCACCCACGACAGCCATTCACATCCACAGAGAGCTCATAGTCTTCCGGTTCCTTTTTCGCAGCTTTGTCTCCGGTCCCATCTTCTAAGGCTTTCTCCTGGCGTTTTTCTTCCCGTTCCCACTTCCTTTCCCTTCCATCGTCAGAAATAAAAATTGGTATACAAAGTGGCCGCCCGCGCCGGGCAAAAGCGTTTTGCAATAAAACAATATAATTACCCAGAGAGCCAGCCGTTATAAAGTCATAGCTCGCCGATGCCTCGTCTCCGGTACACGAAGTCTTCGACTTGTTGGTTTTGGTTTGGTTTTGTTTTTCGTCGCATTGCATGTATTTTCGTATTTTACAACGTCTCGAGCTCAGTGGAGGCGGAGGGGACGGGCTCAGGGACCGAAAAGAGGGATCGTCGAGCAATCTATCACAATATTAGCAACGCGACCATTAAAAAAAAGACAAAAGCCCATACCGTCCAGGCGGCAGCCACAGAGCCGACAATGCCGCCCGAGATGAGCATCGGCCGCAGGCCGCGCGTGCTCTTGAATAGCATGCCGCTCAAGACGCCCGAGACCACCGAGTTGGCCGCATCGTGCTTGCCGCGGGCGTACCCAATCAGCGAGTTGAACATGTTGTACACGATGGCGACCACGCCCGCCGAGTTTCCCAGGAAAGGGCCCCGGCGGGTGATTGCGTTGAGCGTCGCGTTGAGGCGCAGCTTGGGCGGCTGGCCGGCCGACTTGCGCAGGCCCTCCTGCAGGCCCCAGGCGCCGCCGACCGCGAGCCCCGAGACGTAGGTGGTGCCGGTGCCGTAGCACAGGTCATCGGTGAAGCCGCGCGACGGGATCACGGACTGCCCGCCGGGCAGGTCCGACAGCGCCGAGTCCTCGAGCGACAGGTACTCGAGCGTGTCCCGGTTGAGGCCGGCGAGCGGGTGCAGCTGCGACGGGTCCGCGAAGGCGGTGCTCTGCAGGAAGGACTCGACGCCCTGGCCCTCGGTCGGGTCGTAGGATAGAGAGGAGGGGGCGGGAGCCCCGAATGTCGTTGTGGGCTCCTGATGTTGTTGTTGCTTCTGTTGCGGCTTGTTGCCGCCGGAAAAAGCGTTCCAAAGAGATGACATGACGGGCGACGACGCGGGATATTAAGAGCAGCGGGAGGTGTTGATTAAAATGCGTGGTATGGAAATAAAGAAGAATTACGACGACGAAAAGGAAAAGAAAACAAGGCGGGTTTGTCGTTGTCGTCGTGGGTCGCAGAGGCGATTCGGAGTATGGATGACACGGACAAGAGAGAGGCGATAAGGATGAGGTGGACAGCCTACAGTAGAAATTTTTGGAAGCGTTCCGACCAGGTCCGCGATTGGCCCCCTTGGTCTTGCGCTGTTAAGCCGGCCGCCCCTGTATTGTACAGTGGATAGATGGCTGCACGTGATGCTTAAAAATTCAGCCAACAAATCGGCAACTTGGGATTTGCCAGCAGAGAAGGAGAATGGCATTGTTTACAGCAACCGTTGCGCTCGGCATGGTAACATTGTTTAGGCATGCCGTAGAATTGGCATGTTTTGCTACGTGGATAGTCGCACTGTTGGCAGCGTCGCGCTGGTGTACTTCGCTTCACCAAAAAGAAAAACCTTCTACGCACGCGCTGCAAGTCTAGCTCTCTCCTTCGCTGTCCTCGCCCAGCGAGGCGGTACACCTCTTTCGCTGATTCTCCTCGTCGCTTCGAGTTTGACAGGACTCATCAAATCCTTATTCGGTCGGTCGATGGAATGTCGAGATCCGCCCACAGTCAAGTGCCCTCGGTGGAAAGGTGACGGCAAATGGCTGATTGGGAAGGCAGATCACGTTTGCTCTGGGTGGCCGGGAACGGAAGAAAACCCACAGGGAATCAATGGGTAGCCCTCAGTCAAGCCGCAGTGTATGCGGAGCCTCCGTGAATTATTAAAACACTTGACGGTGTAGAAATAACCCTTACTGATGATGAGGAAAGAAAAGAAGAAAAAGTTGAAAAGTTGAGGCGGCTGGCAGCCTTTTTATTCTGTCAGTAGTGGGGCAAGACGCTAATTCGTTTCGGGTTTCTCTGCCATTGACAACCGACTGGAGATCAACGATGGAGCAGAGACTTCGCAACCCATGTCCATTGTACAGCAGAGATTTTAACCCAGGCGACGTAAATTTGCGTAACTTACGGAATCGACGTTAAGAAAGAGTCCAAGATTTCAATTTGATACATAGTTGCCAAAAAAAGTATACATGCGTCTTTGTGCGCGACGTTCCAGCGATGAGTGTAGCCGCTGCTCATATTCTGTCTTTTCTAGTGCCCCAACTCCATAAAACATCAGATACCTCCCAGGATCCTTTTTTGTCGTGATTTTCCCAAGTTTTTATCGTTATTGATATTGTCGTGAGTAAATTTTAAAGACAGAAAGAAAAATGTGGCAAACAGCATCCACGTAGTAACCGCATGTTAGCGATGGTTCGAGTCGTGCCGCTGTAGTAACGGTCTCTGGTCCCAGCTTTCGGCCTGAGGCCGGTCGTTGTGGCCATTCGCGCGGCCATTGATCTGGACGCTATCCGTAGCACTCTCCTCTTCATCTTCTGACGTGAATTGCTCGTCGTCATTCGTCTTATAAATGAAGTACTGAGCAAAGACGCCAAAGTCCATGAAGAGCGTTACGAGAGCACCAGCTAGCCAGCTGAGATTGACGAGGATGTACCTGGCATAGATCCGGCCAGCCTCGCCGTTCTTGCAGCGTTTCTCGCCGCAGTTGGGCTCATAAGCAAAGATGGAGAGCACATATGTGATGTTGCCGAGGCAGGCGAAAAGAAAGAATAGCATGCTCAAGCCCTCGGTCGTTTTACGGCGGTAGTTGAGAATGAGTTGGGGCATCCTCGACGCAATGTAGGCGACGGCGCAGAGGTACCCAAAAAACTGACCGACTTTGTTGAACTCGAGCTCGTCATTGCTCGTTTCCGGCTTGTGCTCACGCGGGCCTTTAGCGCGTTCGCCGAGAAACCAGCCGAGCACCCCGGCAGCGCAGACCATGAGCACAATCAACGAGTTCCATAAAAGGGTTTGAACCACCGTTGGAGGTGGCGGCGACTCCTTAGGTGGTTCACCGAAATGAGGGACAGCGGGTGACAGCCCAGTCCAATCGGATCCTCTGCGTTCTTGTGGTACGTCGAGGAGGGCCGTTCGCTCGTTCGACGTGTTGTCGGGCTTGGGTGTAGGGGCTGGGTCTTTCCAGGTGAAGCCGCGATAGTAAAAGCACTGGAGAAGCAGGACTATATCGGCGAGGGTATAGTAGATGGCAAGGATGATCTGTCAGGTAAATTGTGGTCAGCACGTGCCATTTACACAAGAGTGGAAAACGTACCATTGTAGGCAGAACGCCCTGCATCACGGCTCCAATAATGTTGAAGACATCACCGAGCAGCCAGACAATGATGAATTGGATGGACAGGGCATCCACATTTCCGCGCTGGAAGTTTTGGATAATCTGGGGAGAGAAGACGACGACTTTGGGAAAGGGTGGTCAGTTATCGGAGGATGGGATGGGACGGATCGACGCAGCTTACCCCAGCAAGCAATGGAGATGGATCTGGCACCGAGTCAGAAAAGTACAGTAAATATATCGGGGTAACGGATAGGTTCTTACCCGCAGATTCCAGAAATAGCCTCGACATCGAGGTGGAAGGTCGAGGTGGGAGGTGCCATGACGTCGGATCGGCCGTGCAAAGAGGCTCGTGAATGGTGGTGGTGATGACGGCGGCGCAAGGCTCTGTGATGCGCTATGAGCTGACCGGGGCAGTCATGCGAGCACGGTGAAATGCTTTCTGGAAACTGCCTTTATTAAGATGAATGGGAAGAACAAGAGGAGGGACAGGTGCATTGAACCATACCCGGGCGCCGGGGATGGAGAAAGAAGGAAGCCAGCACGGGAAGGACAAAGTGCAAAGACGGACCAGATGGGGCGAGATGGGGCGGTTGAATTGATTGACTGCGTGAAAGTTTTCAATTTTGCTTGATTCCGTTTTGAGCGGTACAAAGTACGAGCTGGGATTGGGAGCCTCGTCCAGCGAGTGACAGCCGCTGTCGAGTCGTTTGGCGCCACCTTTACGCCACTGCGCGCCACTTTTCAGCTAAAAATGTTGCTTCGAGGTGACACAAGTTGAGTGGCAGTGACCACTGACCACCAGTTCGGCCTGCCTGTGAACTGGGCTCCCGGGAGTTGCAGGCCCTGAAACTCGATCTACCTACCGTACAAAGGCAGGGGTGGGAATTAATTTCATCACCTGAGCAAATATCAATTGCCGTCACCTTGATAGACAAATATTTTATATCTTTCTTGTCTTTCTTATTATTCTTGTCTCTTTTGTCTTTCTTTCTAATCTTTCTTACCTTTCTTGTCTTTCTCTCTTTCTTACCTACATCTTTTATTTCTACCGTACATCTGTTCCTATCAAATGCCTAACTAACGTTAGTTACTAGAATCGTGTGTACATACATAGGACCTAGAGACGACTTTTAAAAGCTACATACATACATATGTACCTGCATACACATGTTCAGCCTTATGCCAGCACATTCATCATTACAGTCATCATTTTAATCAGCATCTTCCTCATCGCCATCATCATCGTCGTCGTTCGTCGTCGTCATCATCATCATGATAAACATCTCCAATTACCATCAGCAAGCATATCGATAATCACCACCACCACTGCCGCCCACCACGATCGGACTCTCTCCACGCTCCCGCTCCTCCGCCTCCGCCATCGGCTCAACCACTGTCTCGCCAATGCCGCTCAATTACTCATCCGCCAGCACCTGTGCCAAAAGTCCGCTTCCACTAACCTATGACGCCAGTACTCTCACTCGGCACGATGATTAATTCAAGCTTGTTTCCCCTTGTGCATGCTCCTACGCCCTTCTACACGGTTTATTCTCATCCCACCAGCTAGCTATCTACCTACATAGGTACCCAATACTCGGTTCACGATACATTAGCTCCTTCACCCTCCCGCGTACGCCTTGGATCCCCCACCGTTTGTTCCCACACGCTACAGCTTCAACCAACGTCGCCGACACTCATCCTCCTCTTCCCCCCTCCCGCAATGCCGTCACCGCCCGTCAAAGTGATGCTCCCCAGCAACCCCGCCCTCCAGGCTGACGACTGCATGCTGACGCGCAAGTTCGGCCAGGAGGTCATCAACTACTACTCCGGCACCCGGCTCAACCGCTACTCCTTCCTCCGCACCGACGCCGGTTTCCTACGCCGCGCCGCCCTCGCCCCAGCCGCCCGCTATGTTGCCCTCAGCGACCTCTCCGCCGTCGCCGTCGACAAGTCCCAGCTCGCCACTTTTCGGTTCGAAGACGTGAAGCCCTTGATTGGTGCCGACCCGGCCATCGCGCTCGAGGAAAAGGCCGCCGTCGCCCAGTTTGACTCGACGAGGACCACACCGCTCGTCGTCTTCCTCGGTCTGGTGGACGGCTCCATTGGCGGCGCGGCGGCGGCCGAGGAGGAACAGGAAACAGTCGAGATCCAGTCCGCGACTCACGGCACCGTCAAGGCCCAGCCATACTTCGCCGTCGACATCACCCCCCGAGATCCATACAAGGAGGCAGCCGAAGCGTTCCAAAAGACATTTCAAGCCCGCGGACTATCCATTGAGACGAACCCGCGTGCCCTAACGCTCCTCCCTGAGCACGGTATGTCGTATTGTGCCTCTCTCCTTCACAGATCAGCCAACTCACGCCTGCTCTAGCTTCCATATACGCCCAGGCCCGGTCCATGATCGACTGGAACACCCGCAATCGCTTCTGCGCCGGCTGCGGCTCCCGCAACCTCTCCATCCAGGCCGGCTACAAGCGCGCTTGTCCCCCCGCCGACCTGCGCGGCGGCAACCCCCTAACCCGCGACGACTGCCCGACGCGCCACGGCGTGTCCAACGTGTGCTTCCCACGCACCGACCCGACCATGATCGCGGCCGTGCTGTCCGCCGACGGCCGCCGCGTGCTGCTCGGCCGCCAGGCCGCCTGGCCCGCCGACTGGTACTCCACCCTCGCCGGCTTCCTGGAGCCCGGCGAGTCCATGGAGGAGACGGTCCGCCGGGAGGTTTGGGAGGAGAGCGGCGTCCGCGTTGGCCGCGTCGTCATCCACTCCACCCAGCCCTGGCCGTACCCGTCCAGCCTCATGATCGGCGCCGTCGCCCAGGCGCTTCCCGGCGGCGAGGAGGTCACCCTGCACGACAAGGAGCTCGAGAGCGCCCGCTGGTTCACGCTCGACGAGGTCCGCGTGGCGCTTGCGCAGGGCGGCAGCGCCCTCGGCGCGGCCCCGCCCCCGGAGTACAAGCCCGGCGACTTGAGAGTGCCCCCGCCCCAGGCCATTGCCCACCAGCTCATGGCGGCCGTCGTCGAGGGCAAGTTTACGGGCGCTTCCAAGATTTAGATTGTTTAGATGTAGCAGTAGATGTAGGTAAACTTGGAGGAACAGAAGATGTTGCATATAGAGGCGTTTGTGTGGGCGTATTGCGGGGGGGTTATCGTGAAGTTGACGATGATACGAAAGAGACGCAATATACGAGTGCAATGTCAGTAGTGAATGGTACTGAAAATAGAAAAGATTAGATCTAATAGACTCCCAAAACCGATATCTATTCTCGGCATATCTACTTCCGCCGGCCTACGCCCGCAGTTCAACAAAAGACAGCCCCTCAACCGTCGTTTTGGCCGCCCTCCTCGGAGCCACCACCGCCCCGCGCTCGTACAGCGCCAGCCACACCGCATCCGCATTGATCACCTCGAGCGCCTTCCTGGCATCCGGCCTCTTTTCCAGCACGTCGGCCAGCAGCTCGAGCACGTCGTCAAACATGGCGTCCTCGATGCGCACGTGCGCCACCACCGCCGTCAGGAGCGCCACCACCGCCGCCCATATGCGCGCCGGCGAGGCGTGCTCCCCAAGGCCGCCGGCCGTCCCTGAAGTCTCCTCTACCCGGCGGACTACCCCGCTTGTCGTCTCCGGGCGGCGCAGCTGCACCACGAGATCGTCTGTCGAGGAGGACCGCCCTGCCAGGAGGCCCCGATTGCCGCCAGCAGCCGCCGAGCGTTTTGCTTTGCGGCAAAAGTCGCGCAGGCCGCCTCCGCCCTCGCACGACCACTCGGCCTGAAAGCGGGAGGCGAGAAAGTCGCCTGCGGTGACGCACATGCCTGCGAGGGCGTGGCAGGCCTCGATGACGACGTAGGGCTCCGGGTCGGCGAGGCGGCCAATGACGACAGGCCACAGGGCGTGGACGAGTGGGAGAAAGGCGTCTTCGTCACCGGCGAGCGCGGGCGCGGCGGACCGCAGAAGCGCAAGCAGGGAGCGGCGCAGCCGTGGCGTTGGCGATGTCAGGTAATGCTGTGTCAGTCCGGCCACACGGCTCAGTAGTCGGTAGGTTGGCGAGCTCGGTGGCTTCTCCTCGCTGGGCGGCTCGCCGCCCCCGTCGCCATCCTGCTCCGTCTCCTCGTCGCCAACCTGCTTATCCGGCTCACCCCACGGTATTTGGGGGTGGCCCTCGAGTGGTCGCATGTTTCGCGCCTCTTCCTCATCGCGTTTCCGTCGCTCTTCGCGTTTGTCCAAAAAGGCCATCAAGCTGTTCAGGTCTTCCGGCTGACCGTGCTGCTTCTTGTGGTGAATCTCCTTCTTCTCGTGATCTTTCAGCAGGCGCGCGCTTTCCGTTTTGGCCCCTTGGTCGACAATCTCCTTGAGCACATGGAACAGGCTTTCAACGAATGCGGGGTACCCGTGGTAGTTGTCCAGCGCAGCGAAAATGGAGTCGACGACGTCGTCCAGGAACGGTATGAGGTGCGGCCCGGCGAGGCGAATCATCATGGTCAGCACCTGTGTAGATGCCGGCGATATGTCCAGCGTGTTGAGGCGCAGGGCCACAGCGCTGACCATGTAGTCAACGTTGTCAACGATCAGCTCTGAGACGGAAGCGTACTTGCTCGCCGCCGCTAGGATGTTCAGTGTGACCACGGCGTGCTTCTGGAGCCGGGGGTCGGGGGACCCCAAAAATGTTGCAGTCGGGAACAGCACGTCGATGAGTTCTGGCCTAAACGACTCACCAGATCTCTGGGCTGCATAGGCCACTACTTCGAGCGCAAGCGCCTCCATACGCCAGTCGACAGCTGATGCATCGCTGTGAGAATCCAATATCTCAACCGAGAACGAATACAATTCGCCGAACTCAGACTCGATATCTTGCGATCCATTTGGGACATCAGTGAAGTTAAGAAGCGCATCCTCGTCCGAAGAGGAGGCATGCGCAGTCTTGATTATCTCCAACGACAGCCAGTAGGCAGCGACTTGACTATTATCTGAATTGTTCCTAGCAAATTCCACCATGTCTGCTAGCAAGGCGCCAGACTGCGAGGTCGAGCTGACTGCCCGTAAAAGGGATGCAAGTTCAGTTTTCAGCCCACGCTGGCTTTCGTGCGAAAGCAGTACAGGAGAATGCGACATCCTTCCAGAAGCCTTCACCATAGATTTACTTTCTAGAAGCTGAATTGGTGCCGCGTTGTCCGAGATTGAGGTTTTGTTCGCCTGGAGTAGTGAAGTTATCGTCTCACACATTGTTTGAGACAACGCGCTCTCCAGTGTACTCGATTCAATGTTCAGACTTCTCAAAAGCCCAATGCCTTTGCCAAAGTTGTGAATTGCGACCTGCTTGACATCTTCGTCCGCGGATTGCATGTGTCGAGGCAAGCTCGACATCCAGTTATAGACTGTCGTCTTGACCACGTCGAGTAACTCGGGATATACTCCAGCTATATGTGACAAGTTCGTTTCCGTAAATGAATCGCGGTCGCCGGTATCCAGGATAACGGCCGTCTCCACAAGCAATGTCGAACAGTTGGACAAGGTCTCATAGCACTCGTCCAGCAATGTAATGCACAGGCGGTTGAGTGCAATTTTGACGCCGTCGGATTCATGTATGCGTAGCTTCATCATTGTTGCCAAAGCCTTTTTGACTTGTCCCACGGTCGCATTTAGCCATGCTGGTCCGAGGACCTTATTTTTGTCCTCTTCCTTTTCGCCGCCGTCCTTCTCCTTTTTAGCAAGGATTGATCGCGTGCGTAAATCGCCTAAAACTGTCGTCAGAACCACCCTCACTCCATCTAGACATCCTGCTAGAACTGAGGCTTTGTATCGTGCCGGCGTGTGGAGCACCCTTGCGAGATTTGACAATGTGCCGGGGAGGAAAGTAGCTAAGGTGGCATGATCTCTGATGGCTCGATACAGCAGAACCAACGATCGAAGGGCCTCTTCCTGGATCGCCGGAGTAACACCGTCCACAATACCATCGAGCATCGCTGTGACGCCTTGGCCCAGCTGCGGAATTACCGCGGGCGCTGCTAGACCAGTGGCGGCCTGTGCTGATCCTGCGGCAGCGTCGAGGAGAGCCGACAAGGTGCGGAAGGCTTCTAAGATAAGCTCCTCGGGCTTTTCCATATTCCCTTGTGATCCAGGAGCGCCATCAATGATGAAAATGAGAAGGGTAAATATTTGCTGGACAAGGGCGGCTGATATCCTCGTCCGCCAGCCGTAGGTGATGAGGATTCGGAGACAAGTGATACAGTTCTCGATAACAGTCGCTGGGTATTTCGCCATTTGGCGGAAGATATGAGATAACGGGAAGAAGACATATTCGGCTAATTTGTCGTGTAAGTCCGCAGATGAGGCGTGAAGAATGTCCAGGAGGGTAGTAGTAAGAGCTTGCAGTTCGCGGGCTGGGAAGGGCCCATCCTCGTCCCGAATGGTAAGCCGGCTGATTTCAACACAGCATGGCTTCAGCTGTGAAATCTGTCAGAAAAAATACACCGCGCAGTTTGTTGCGTACTCACTCGTTGGAATAAGGCCTTGCGCGCCTCGGATTCAGCCACTGCCTCCATGGCTCTTTGTTGGGGCTGTCAAGACACGTGCTGCCGCATATCTGAAGCTGTACCAGCAACCAAGCTTTCCGATAACTAGAAAGGTACTGGTTTTTGGCTTCCCGTAAATGCAACAAGTCAAGGTCACAGCGACGCGCTGGCAGATGTTGGTTTGGCAAAGCGACTTGGCAAATGACGGAAGCTTCTCGACCCGCACTGTGGCGCGGGGAGTGGCCCACCATTTGGCAAGCCTAGGGAGCTTATCCAGCACCCATGCGACAGCTGCCTGCGTACTGTAACTACAGTGGGTGGCAACATGTATTTGTCCCCTTTTAGGTATCTCACCTCCCTTAGGCATCTTAGGCATTTCATATCCTAGGTATTTTATATATCTTAGATATTTTATACATCTTATCTATTGTACATATCCTAGGTATTTCACATATCTTAGGTATCCTCGCTAACTATCTCAACTATCGTAGGGATACATAGGTCAGATACCCAGCGGGGGACAAATACATGTTGTGACCCACTGTACCTACTCGCCCACCTACCTCCTCATCAGGCTATCGGGCTGACTTTGTTTCACCCAGCCAAGTGAGCCTCAAATTGAGTTATAATTTTTAACAGTTTTATAACTCTTACAATGGCTGCTCCGTCTCCCTTTTCAGTCACGGTTCACCCGTACAGGTCCCGTGTCAGTGGCTCGTGTGCCTACGAGTTGGGCCCTACTACGGCCAAGAATGCCATTGTGTTTATTGGCGGGCTGTTTGACGGGCCTCACACGGTGCCATATGCTCGAACTGTGGCCAAGTTTGTCGAGGAAGCAAAGGATTTGGACTATTCTCTTTTCGAAATCCGGATGCGAAGCTCCTTTACTGGATTTGGCATGTCGAGCTTGAAGCAGGACGTTGAGGATATTTCAGCCCTGGTCAAGTATCTTCGCTCCATCGGCCGCGAAAAGGTTGTGCTATTCGGTCACTCTACTGGATGTCAGGTAATTGTGTTGTTTTCTTTTTGTGCCGCATCATATCTAACTTGCACCCCAATCAGGATTGCATGGAATACGCCGACTATGAGAAACACGGGAGCAGCCCCGTGGATGGCTTCATTATCCAGGCGCCGGTGTCAGACCGCGAAGCGCTAAAGGAGAATTTCCCCAATTATGACGATCTATTGGCCATCTCTAAAAAGATGATTGCAGACGGCGAAGAGAAAGAATATGTCTCTGCGAAACTGATCCCACCCGGGTTCAACGCCCCCCTCACCGCCTACCGGTTGCACTCATTGCTCGCAAAGGGGTTAGTACAAGAGGTTCCGTCTTGAGACAAGTTCTCACATTCAAACAGTGGCGATGATGACTACTTTTCCTCGGATTTTGATGAGGCGACACGTACAAGGATCTGGGGTCGGCTCACCAAGCCGGTGCTGGTGCTGCACTCTGAGGACGACGAGTACGTCCCAGTTCATGTGAACCAGGATGCTCTTCGTAAACTATACCATGCTGCCAGCCCTTTAGTTAGTCCGTTGTCTGGGTCTATTCCCGATGCAACGCATGCTGTTGCAAATGTTGCTGGGCGCGAATGGTTAGCCAAGACTGTTGTCAAATTTCTGTTGACTCTGGAGTAAGGCAGTCTGGGTTGCATACAAAACTTCTAGAGTCAACCTCTATAGGCAACGCCGCATAAGATGGACCCGATTTTATGAAGCCATGAATCAAGAGAGCAAGCACAAAATGACACCGGCGTATTTCTGTATTCTACCGCCCGCCATACCGTCTACGTTAATAATGCCACGTTGGGTTGTGCCCTACCGGGTACGACTGTGTAGTTTGTAGTGATGGATTTAAGGTGGAGTTGTGTGCATGGCTGACGTGCGGCGCCGCACCGGCGAGCCGCCGGCTTTAACGCCTTGCGCCCGGAACAGCCATTACTAAACCTCGCTGCCAACGATGGACATATGAGGAAAAAAAGTCAGCAAGTGGCTGCCTGGAGTGATACAGAGTGATACAGTGAGACTTGCCAAGATTCGTGTGCTGCGCTGGGGACTGTGACCTCCAGAAACGCTGGAAACTCGGCGGACTTTAGCGGCCTCAGCGGTCAAGCAGCCACCAAGCTAGCACTAACTATTGGCCAATCAGAGGGAGCTATGCATGCATTAAAGTGGTCTATGGGTCATTTCCCCTTCACTTGTCCAATCAGCTGCTGTCTTGCAGAGTCGCTGACAAAGCTCTACTTCCATCTGTAGACGGCGGGCAGCCAGCTCTGATTCTGGCTTGATCCACCCGGGACGAACGCCCGGTCCGTCATTGCCTGTATTTCTAGTCTGCCTCTTCTTTTTTTCTTCCTGCCCTCTCTGCGTCCGTCGTCCGTCTGTATCCTTAATTTTTTCTTCAGTGGCACTCGAATTTACTGCCTTGCCACTGTAGGCGCATTGGTCAGCGACTGCAACTAGTCGTCACTGCCCGTTTGTTGTGCACGCCGCATTCGGACCCTCGCCGCCTGGATCACGGTCACTGCGCGCCGCGTGAGCTCTCGATCTGCACCGCAAGTCCGTCTATAGGACCCAACCCACCACCAAACCTTCAGCGCCGCATCAACCGAGCAAAGCATGAGCTGAGCGCGCCCGACAAGCCGGATACCGAACCATCGACTGCCCACGATGGAATATACAAACTCGCAGCAGCGTCTGCTACACACGGGCTCCTTCACTGGCCTTCGTCCAATGGAGAACTTGCACGGCTATTTCCAGCCCAAATCGCAGCCCTTTTGCGCTGATCCTGAAGGCTGGGGTCCTCTCAGTCCTATTCGCTATGACTTCACCCCTTGCTTCATCGATGTCTGGATCGGTTCCGTTGCTGCTTTTGGTCTGCTTTTTGGTCTGCTCGCCATCTGGTATCTGCGGGGCAAGAACGACAACAAGACTCCCAAGGATGTTGGCTACTGGCTGAAGCAGGTTCGTCGGATAGCAACTCTCCCTGTAACCGGCCAGTTCATGCTAATGTTTGATAGACACTGTTTGGGGTCCTTACCGCCTCTGTACTCGTCCAGCTCCTCTTCCAGGTTATGGACGCCAAGCACATCGACTTTCGCATCGCTATCACCCTGCTGCTGCTGGCTTCTTTTGTCGTCATCTTCTACATCCAACACCTTGAACACACTAGAATACGACACGCCAATGGTGTCGTCCTCTTCTACTGGCTCCTTCTCATGATTGCTCAGAGCGTTAAGCTTCGCTCCCTCATCTCACAACAGCTCTACGCCCACGACGAGCGCTACTTCATCTCCTACTGTGTCGGCTTCGGCCTCTCGGCCGCCGAGTTCCTTGTCGAGTGGCTGTGGCCTCGCTTCGGCACCCCCAGCGACTACCAGGCCATCGCCGATGAAGACGAGTGCCCAGTCGAATATGCGACCGTCTTCTCCAAGCTCACCTTTTCGTGGATGACCCCCATGATGCGCTTCGGCTACAAGACCTTCCTCACTGAGGATGACCTCTGGGCCCTCGCCAAGGCCGACAAGACCAGCACAACTGGCCAGAGCTTCAGTGATGCCTGGGAGCATGAGATGAAGAACAGGCCCAAGTCTCCTTCTCTCTGGCTCGCCCTCTTCCGTGCCTATGGTGGTCCTTATGCCGTCGCAGCCGTCTTCAAGATTGGAAATGACATGTCGCAGTACATTCAGCCCCAGCTGCTTCGTCTGCTGCTCAGGTGGGTTCAGTCCTATGAGACTGACTCCCCCCAGCCCGTCATCAAAGGTGCTGCTCTTGCGCTGGCCATGTTCGCATGCGCCATCTTCCAGACTACCATGGTCCACCAGTATTTTCAGCTCGCTTTCGAAACGGGCATGCGCATCAAAGGCGGCCTCGGCTCCAGCATCTATCGCAAGGCTCTCCGACTGTCCAATGAAGGCCGCTCCACCAAGTCCACTGGCGACATTGTCAACTACATGGCTGTCGACGCTCAACGCCTGCAGGACCTGACCCAGTTTGCTCAGCAGGCTTGGTCCGCCCCGTTTCAGATCATCATCTGTATGGTTTCCCTCTACAGCCTGGTGGGATGGTCCATGCTTGCTGGTATTGCCGTCATGATCATTATGATGCCCATCCAGGGCTTCGTTGCGAGACTGATGAAGAGGCTTCAGAAGGAACAGATGAAGAACAAAGACGCCAGAAGCCGTCTGATCAACGAAATTATTACTAACATGAAGAGCATCAAGCTCTATTCTTGGGGCTCTGCCTTCATGAACAAGCTCAACTTTGTGCGAAATGAGCAAGAGCTGAAGAACCTCCGCAAGATTGGTGCCACTCAGGCCGTTGCCAACTTTACCTGGAATACTGCTCCCTTTTTCGTCTCGTGCTCGACGTTCACCATCTTCGTTCTCACCCAGAACAAGCCCCTGACGACAGATATTGTCTTCCCTGCTCTGGCACTCTTCAATCTTCTTTCTTTTCCCTTGGCCGTTCTCCCCATGGTAATCACCTCCATCGTCGAAGCCTCTGTTGCCGTCGGCCGTCTCACCGACTTTTTCAATGCCGAGGAGGTTCAGTCCGATGCCATTACGGTTGGACCTGCTCCCAACAAGCTTGGTGAGGAGTCTGTCATCATCCGCGATGGAACTTTCTCCTGGAACCGTCACGAAGATAAGAAGGCTCTCAAGGATATCAACTACACCGCGTACAAGGGCGAACTCTCCTGCATTGTTGGCCGTGTTGGTGCTGGCAAGTCGTCTTTCCTTCAGAGTATCCTTGGTGATCTCTGGAAGGTTGCCGGCCACGCAGAAGTCCGCGGCAATGTTGCGTATGCGTCTCAGCAAACCTGGGTGCTCAACGCCACTGTCAAAGAGAACATCGTCTTCGGTTACCGCTACGACTCTGAGTTCTACGAAAAGACTGTCAAGGCTTGCGCCCTTCTTGATGACTTTGCTCAACTTCCTGATGGTGACGAGACGGTTGTTGGTGAGCGCGGCATTTCCTTGAGCGGAGGACAAAAGGCCCGTGTATCACTTGCTCGAGCTGTTTACGCTCGCGCCGATATCTATCTCCTTGACGATGTCCTATCTGCTGTTGACTCGCACGTCGGGCGACACATCATTGACAATGTTCTCGGGCCCCGTGGCTTGCTCTCCTCCAAGACTCGTATTCTCGCAACAAACTCGATTCCCGTCTTGCGCCAGGCAAGCTACATCACCCTCCTTCGCGATGGCGAGATTGCCGAGCGTGGCTCTTACAACGATCTCGTGGCTAAGAAAGGCCTGGTCGCTGATCTCCTACGCACTGCTTCGCAAGAATCCGGCGAAGGCTCCGGGGCTTCTACGCCGCCATCCAGCGAGTCGACCATCGTTGGCGCTGAAAGCAGCCCAGACAAGGAGGAGCTCGCAGAAGCGCAGGAGAACATTGCTGAACTGGCTCCCATCAAGACTGCTAAGATGGGACTCGCTGTGGCTGACAAGGGTCGCTCGAGCAGTATGGCTACTTTGCGCCGTGCTAGCACCGCTTCTTTTCGCGGTCCCCGTGGCAAGCTTACGGACGAGGAGATGACCCCAAGCCGCCGCACTCAGCAAAAGAAGGAGTTTGTCGAGCAAGGCAAGGTCAAGTGGTCTGTCTACGGAGAATACGCCAAGGAGAACAATGCCATTGCTGTTTTCGTCTACCTCACCGCTCTGCTTGCCGCCCAGACGGCCAACATTGGTGCTGCTTTCTGGCTGCAGCACTGGGCCGACCAGAACCGTGACAAGGGCACCAACGAGAAGGTGGGAACTTATATCGGCATCTACTTTGCGATTGGCATCTCGTCGTCTGCTCTGACTGTCATCCAAACCCTCGTTCTCTGGATCTTCTGCTCGATTGAGGCCTCGCGTAAGCTGCACGAGCGCATGGCCAACGCCATCTTCCGCTCTCCCATGTCTTTTTTCGACACGACTCCTACCGGGCGTATCCTGAACCGCTTCTCCAGCGACATCTACAAGGTGGATGAGATTCTGGCTCGCGTCTTCAACATGCTGTTCAACAACGTTGCGCGATCTGGCTTTACCATCTTGGTCATCTCCTACACGACGCCGCCATTCACCGCCTTCATAATCCCGCTTGGCCTGGCGTACTACTTCATCCAGCGCTACTATCTCCGCACATCACGCGAGCTGAAACGTCTCGACAGCGTCAGCCGCAGTCCCGTCTATGCGCACTTCCAGGAGTCGCTCGGCGGCCTCACAACGATTCGCGCGTACCGCCAGCAGGAGCGCTTCCGCCTCGAGAACGAGTGGCGCCTCGACGCCAACCTCAGGGCCTACTTCCCGTCCATCAGCGCAAACCGATGGCTTGCGGTGCGCCTCGAGGTCATGGGCGCCGTGGTCATTCTGGCCGCCGCCGGACTTGCCATCATTGCCGTGGCCAGCGGTTCTGGTCTTGGAGATGGGCCGATTGGTCTCTCGCTGTCGCAAGCACTGCAAATCACAACCTCCCTCAACTGGATCGTCAGACAGACAGTCGAGGTCGAGACCAACATTGTCTCGGTTGAGCGTGTGCTTGAGTACGCCGCGCTGCCCAGCGAGGCGCCTGAGGTGATTGCCAACCACCGACCCCCCGTGGCCTGGCCGGCCAAGGGCGAGGTCGAGTTCAAGAATTACAGCACGCGGTACCGCGAGGGCCTTGACCTCGTGCTCAAGAACGTAAACCTAGACATCAAGTCGCACGAGAAGATTGGCGTCGTCGGCCGCACTGGCGCGGGCAAGTCTTCGCTTACGCTGGCGCTGTTCCGTCTGATCGAGCCCGCAACCGGGCATATTGGCATCGACAACCTGAATACGTCGTCTATTGGCCTACTGGATCTCCGTCGTAGACTGGCCATCATCCCGCAAGATGCCGCCCTGTTTGAGGGCACCGTGCGCGACAACCTGGACCCGGGCCATGTTCACGACGACACGGAGTTGTGGAGCGTTCTAGGTGCGTTTTCGAAGCGAAGTATGTGGCTGCAGCGGCAGTTGGCTAACATTGATGGTGTTGTAGATCATGCGCGACTCAAGGATCATGTTAAGACCATGGACGGCGGACTAGAAGCCAGAATTACAGAAGGAGGTAAGAAACGTCTATGCAATTTCAAGATGGCGTCTGTGATTGGGTGCCAGTGTGGTGGTATGAGACAAGTCATCAGCCGGAAAAAAAAAGAGCCGAGGATCGTCTCGTGTCAGGGCTGGCTGGCATGTCTGTCAATGCCATTGTGGACGTGCGCCAGACAACAGTTCTACCCCAGAATCACACGATGCCAAGACATGCCAACTTCTAGCTCTGCTTAACCCGCCTGTGCACATCATCAACATTCGCTAATCAACTCTCCCTCTTTCTAGGATCGAACCTCTCTCAGGGACAGCGACAGCTCGTGTCCCTCGCGCGGGCCATGTTGACGCCGTCCAACATCCTGGTCCTCGACGAGGCCACGGCCGCCGTGGACGTCGAGACGGATGCGATGCTGCAGGCGACGCTGCGCTCGCCGCTCTTCGCCCACCGCACCATCATCACCGTCGCCCACCGCCTCAACACCATCGTCGACAGCGACCGCGTCATCGTGCTCGACAAGGGCGAGGTGGTCGAGTTTGACACGCCCGCCGCGCTGTACCGCCGCCAGGGGCAGTTTTACAACCTGATGAAGCAGGCCGGCCTTGAGGTTGAGTGAAGAGGCATATTGGTTGTTGGTGCAACTAACCTCCTGTGTGGATTCCGTCTTCTTTCCCCTTCTTTCCTGAAATGGCGATTGGGAGAGAGGCCCCAGGGGCGTGTGCAGTCTTTTGTTCTGGCCGCGTGCGCGAGAGAAACGTGTCGGAGTTTTGTTGTCGGAGTGGATGTTGTTGCATTCAGAGTAAGGTCTTATTTTTTTTCTAAAAAAAAGTTCAACTTGTTTTGTCTATTCACAATTTAGGACACTGTTGTATATTGATGTATAGAATGCCAGAAACACACCAAAAAGTATTTACATTTCATCACACTATAGACGCAGATGTTGCACGAGACGGACTTGACGAGAAGTTATCGGTACTACCTCGTACCCTGCACGACCGAAATGCCCAACTAATTTGCAACTCCGACTCAGTTCGGAATTAGCGATACATGCACATGCAATCTACTGTACGTAGGTCGTTAGCATGATGCCTTGATAGTCCAAGTTGGTGCAAAACACTCTGCCAATTCTTTTTGTCTCGGTTGAGCAGGGACCTCTAACAATCTGCTTTGGTCCAATTTAATTGGGCTTATTCAAGTGGTAAATTCCAATCGGGCGGTGGCGACTGACTGGGTGAGACATTGGGCACAATCTATCAGCCGATTTACTTGCTCTCTCCGTCTCTCTCCCCCTCCTCCCTGCCCGAGCGTGCCGAGCCCAGACGCAGCGCCAGGGGGGAAATGTCGTGAGGGAGTGTAGGTGCGAATCTTTTTTTTTTTTTTTTTTTTGGTGTAATTCTACACGTCCATTTTTGGGTTCCTGTTCGCAGACAGGCCTCATTCATGACACCCAGTTGTGGTATACGGACAAGGGGGGAGGAGGGAGGGGTTAGTTGGATGGCCTCGTTGCGTCTGAGACAATATTTGAACGTAGGTGTTGTTTCGTTCATTCACATGCGTGCGTCTGTCTTCTTGGCCATTATGTTGTCTTGCGCATGTACCTTGCTCGGTAGCATCCGTATTGCCAGCAATTCCCATTCTTTGGAGGGATATGTATGCGACCAGAGACATGGGTTCGGTCGGGCTTTTCGAGGGCAGACCCTAGGGTGTAGGCGCGACCCTGAAATTCGGGAGACAAGAGACAAGAAGACCCCCCGAAGACCTTGTCGAGACGAGGACCCTGTCCATCTCCCTCTCTTGCTGGAATGGAGGGTGTGTAGCGTGTATCGCTTGTTGAGCATCTCGGCTTGTCTCTTTTCGGACGGAACCCGTCCATCAGCATGGGGAAGAAAGCTCCATAGTCGAGTCAAAAAAAAGAGATGGCAGCTCCTGTTGACTCGTCACTTTGCTTGCTTGTTTGCAAGATTTAGAGTTTGGTCCCGCGTCGCCTGGGCGGGTTCAGATGTAACGACGATCAACATCGATCTCTCCTCCATCACCAGGTCCCAGGGGTCAAAAAAAAAGAGGAGACTGGCCCAGCCTGTTGGCACGTAGCATGATGACCTTGTCTCTCTCCCTCGTAGGGATCCGGGCTCGATCTGAGATGGCGCACTCGGCTGGAGCGCGCGCCAATTCATCTCTATTGTTACGCTCTGGATAGGTGACATATCATGTATTGGTTGACAGCATTACCAGCATTTCCTTGATATAGTCATCGGCGGAAGCTGATCTCCTTGACGACTCGTCACTTACACACAATCCCGTTCGTTGCTGGCGCCTTCACACAGCTTTCCCTCGAGCCCTCGTCCCTGCTTCGGCTCGTGTTGGCGCCAGCTGCGGACGAGATAAGTAAGTCCTAACGCTTCTTTCGACTCGTCGGCGGTGGATTTCGCATCGTCGCTACGGGTACATCAGTAGGTCCCGATGATATGAGATCAGCCTTGATTTTGTCACGTTTTCGTATATTTTTGACCCCCACGCGACATCGCCTGTGTGTTTCGATTGGCGCGTATGCATCGTCGTCCCGGACCCTGAAAGACTGCTCCTTGGTGATGATGGAAGCCCACCGGCCCATGATTGCGTCAAGCAAATGAACTGTTAGACGGTCATCAGTGGAAGCGATGCGTGGACGCCGGATGCCTAAGAAGCACCAGAAAGGAGCGCAGGACATGATGGCATCTCATATGAAGTCTCGCCCCTCGTAGATTACTATTCCCATGTGTGTTGCCCCCACAGAAAACCAACATGTGTTTCGGCTCTAGGTGACTTGTGCTCGGAGTTCTGTGTCGTACCCATCCATTTCTTGAGTAACGTGGGACATGGTGCCCTTTCTAGCTGCGAAGAAATAAAAGGGGGAACATGGCGTTCTTGTGCAAACCGCATAAACAATCAGCCAAGGCAAAGAAAGACAACCCATGGTAACACGGGAAGAGTACTTGCCGCGCAAAGTACACACCCTTCCATTACTGCAATCTTGGGAGGAGACATATCGCGAGTAATGTCAAACGATACTCGGCGAGGCTAGGCTGAAGCTATTGGCTCTGTGTTTCCTTTTCAAAGGGTAGCTGTAATGCTGGGCGGATGGATGGATAGGTAGGCGGCTGCGATGAAAAACCTAAAAAGGTGGAATCTCGATATCCAAGTTGAGGGTATCCAGCGCGCAAAACGGATAGAAAGGAAGGCGGAGGAACAAGGGGGGGCTTGAAGCCGAGAGTTTGCCCCAGAATATGTATTTCCAGTAGGAGACATCGGCGCCAAGGGGGGAGGGGTGAGGTTGTTGCAGATGTCGCCTCGGTAGCATCTCGATGGACCAGGAACAGCAAGGTCAACGGCATCGTCATAATCCTCCCCTATAGATGAGAGATGAGAAATTAGCGAATGGGCAAATGAATCAAATGCTAACTAAGCCATAACCACAGACCTTAGTTTGAATCATTCGGCAACTGCGATGGCGCGTTCCAGAGCTGCGAGGCGAGGAGGCATAACTGGAGGAAAGGGCAACAAGACTTGGTGATACGTGTACCCCCCTTTGCCTTGACGTAGGTAGCTCGTCCAATCGATAGAAGAATGTTTCTCTGCACCAGAAGAAGACGCAGAGATGATGGGCTGGATCCATCACACTGCAGGTGTGTGTGAATGCGTGTGTGTGTATATGGTAGCACAGCATCGATATTTGGGGTGACTCCAAGGTGGCCGACAGCCGCGGCTAGAGGCAAGATTTGTGCGCCAGTGCCCGTGTGAGCGAGCGAGCGAGCGAGCGAGTAAGTGAGCGAGTGAGTGCTTCTGACTGTGTCGTTATGCGTGTGAAATGCGTGCAGGCAGGCAAGTCCCTTGTGCAAATGCAAGGCCTCATCACACCGCATCTCGCCCACTATTCAGTCAAGCAAGGCAAAGGAAAGACAAGACATGAGCCGGCCTTAGGAGCAGTAGCAGCAGCAGCAGGAGCAGCAGCAGCAGCAGCAGCAGCAGGAGCAGCAGCAGCAGCAGCAGGAGCAGCAGCAGCAGCAGCAGTAGCAAGACAGCGGATGCTCTCGCCGTCCCTCTCCTCTACTTCTTTGCCTGCTTTGCTGTCTTTTCCTCTCCTCTCCTCTCCTCTTCTCTCCTCTCCTCCTCTCCTCCCCTCCGCTCCCTTCTCCCTCACAGCTCTCCTGCTGCCCACTCTTGCTCCTGGCCTCTTCACCTTGGCATCCGCTGACCAAAGGGGCACCTTCCCTCACCAAAATGTTCAAGGTTGCACACCAGGCAACGAAAACGACATGCCTCATGTCATGGCCTTTTTTTCCTGGTTTACCCAAGAGGATCCATCCAGCGTAGCTTTTTTCTTCCTTTTGCATTTCCCCCATGTAAGTTCCATATTATCGTGGAGCGGCCCCTCCCGGCGCTGGCCATGCTTGGCCTCCCCTGTTGCCCCAGCCCCAGCTTACTGGATAGGTACAATACAGGACTCGTAAGTACCTACAGTACTCACGGCTCAGTAATCCTCCCCTGGCAGCCATTCCCAGCTGCAGGTGCGCAATGAAATCACAGCGGCTGATGGCGTTGACAAAGATCGGCCACTGCGAAACACGGCCTGTCCGTGCCCATTTTCAGTGTCTATTTAGCGAGGCATTTCTCTCCGTCCGCGACCTAGGATCCACAGGCCAGTCAATAACAGTTGGGAAAAAAAAAAAAAAAAAAAAAAAAAAAAACCAGAGTGAGCCGTGTCTCCTCATCCTCCTCTTCCTCTTGTTACCGGTCTTGCCTGCTTGCCATTGACTCGGGCTTCTTCCTCCTTCCTTGGCCTTGTCGGCTTCCTTCCGTTGTCTCGGCTCCGCAACTTGACCAGACTCCATGCTCCAAACTCATCACACCGGGCTTGCAGACACAGCCAAGATACCGAGTAGATGCACAACGGACCCAGCGTCACTGTGGCGTCCATTCATGCAGCCCATTCCTCTCCCTTTGACCCATCCAACCGGATCCCAGGCCTCTTCCCCTCGTCCGCCTGTCCTGTCCCAAGCTGTCCGCTTTGCAAAGATGCTGCAATGCCCTCATCAGGCTCAGGAATACCACTGGCGTCTTGTGTCGCCCGTCACTTCTCCCCTTGCTGTCCCAGCTCTCGCAAGTGCTTTCACTGTGCAGACTACGTGCACTGTACCAATACCGTCGCAAGTCCGGCCAAGCAGACTTCTTCACTTGGCCCCTCCTCTTTCGTCTCTGTGGCTTCTTTCGAGAAAAACCCTTGCCCAACTGGTGCGGCTATCACGGATCCTCTTCCCGCATACCACTCGCTGACCATGTCTCTGCATTGTGCCTACTGTGCTTGCCCACCCTGTTCCCTGTACGCACCTGCATGCTTCGCAATCCCTCCTGTCGAGATACACAGTACTCACATCCCTCCTTTCTTTATTTTTCTGGGCTTTTGCAAGGCCACCAAAGCTTTAATAGAGAGATTCCAGATACCTGGAACAAGTGGGGGAGCATCAGCCTCTCGGGTACCGAGCACTTTGGCAGGTGTAGTAGTTATGATAGTAAACTCGCCTCGATTGACCGAACATGGATCGGCAAGACCATTCTTCTCCCCACCATATATGTTGCTGT